AGCGCGCCTCGCTTCGATCCGCGTCCGGCACCGTTAAAGCATGCCTCGCGTCTGTCTGCCTGCTGATGCGCCGTTAAAACTCGCAGTCCACATACACAAAGATCCGCGATTTCTCTCAGTCAGACGCATACACACTCGGCCCTGTTAGTCTGTCTGTCCGAGGTGCAATTACGGGTTCTCGCGTCGGGCTTAATTACTTCATATACCGCACGCACCCATAATACAATTGTCGATAATCCTGAGTCCACGTCGAGTCGTCAACTTTTTTTCCGTCGCCATGCACGCAAAGCAGTCGGTCGATATCTTCGATGCCGTTCAGGCGAACTCTTTTGTCTTTGTTGTCGAAAATTTATTTACTTTTTTTAGGTAGTATATGCATATATTTATTGAGCTATTCAAGGGACATTATGCGATCAATTTCACGTATTAATTGTACGTCTCAGCGGTTTTACGCGTGACATTCAATCTTGATTGGACATTTCCTACTGGGGATTTACTAATGCCTTTCTTTCAATGCACGTAAGAGGTTCAATTCACTTTTCTCGTTGTAATTGCTATACCGCGAACGCGATGAAAAAGATCGACTAACAATTAAATTTTACAGCTACGCAGCACTGAAATCACGTTGCTCAAACGCAGGCCTGTGCCTCTCGTTATAATAACAGCGTGAGTTTGAAGAGAAAAAAAAGAGGAGGAAAAAGAATTCCCTTGACTCTTTTTTTTTTTTCAATGTAACGAACGAGCCCTGCTGATGCGCACACTGTCAGAGCGTGTAACGCACGCACAGCGAATTTTTCAGCGAGAGCGCAGCGAAGGCGACGACTGTACGTTCCATACATATAAGGCAACACGAGAGAGTCGCCGGCACGAAGTATATAGGTATACACCGAGCGAACGACTCGCTTGCAACTCTCGCGCGAGAGGAGACAAGCCTTCGAGCTGCATGCGTCGGCGCCGCTATCTGCGCGCATTGCAACAAAACGTCCGCGCCGCTTGTGCTCCCTTATACACCGCGGCCAGCCGATATACCCGGCCTCCGGTAAATATTTGTCGTTCGCGGTGCCTATACGCGTCGCTCCTCCCGTGTCCGCGCGAGCAGCTTCCGCGCTCGACGACGACGCCAATTAAAAAGGAACGAGCCGCCCGAGCGCGCGCACCCCGGCGTTCGAAGCTCCCCCGAAGCGTGACACCCGCGCCGATGGGACAAGCGAGCGAGCGTGCTGCAACGCGCGCGTGCAACGGCAACGATAAAACAAAGCATGAAATACGGCTCGCTCGCGAAGGCAGCACTCGGAGGGACGTTTCTCATAGCCGCGCGCTGCGGCCTGCGAGCTGCCGTGACGAGGGCATATTCACGACGGGAGCGTCCATTACGCGAGTGTGCGGCAGCGTTCCGTGTAATAACGAGAATGCCTGTACAACGCGAGCGAGAGAGAAATATATATCTTTCCGCGTTTTATTATTTCTTGCCCACACCCAAGCCAAGCAATGCCGGGCATGACACGGCCTGAGAAATCGCATTGGCAAAGGGTGCTCCTTCTCCTATGCCAACGCTATCGCATTGCCGCGAGCTTCAAACCTCCGCGTTATTTTTTTTTTTTTTTCATCGAAAGAGATCATTTATTCACGCGCCTCTGATAGCTCGATAAATACTTTGAATGATCAGTCGATTGTGCGGTTTTTCAGAGTGTAAAACGATAATACCGTAAAAGTATGTGTCCTTTTAAGTTTTATTATTAATTCCACGAAACGGCTGTTAATGAATTTAAATACATCGAGGTAACAAAGCATCATCGCAATGGATATATTTAAAACAGGAATAGTGACTGTCGTCTTTTCTGCTTCAAGTTTTTTATGAGGTGCACGTCGATACACATGTTTTTATTTAAATGTTAGTTCAAACACTTTTATTACAATCTTTACAAAATGTAAATTCACTAAAGAAAATCAAGATTTCATTGTGAATTCAATTGTCGGAATGACCTTGAGCCTGTCAAACACGCGTTCGACTGAGACTGATATTATAGCGATTATTGCCGTCGTTAAAATATTTCTCACGTGCGAGAGAGAAAGAGAGGCGATCCGATCGTATCCAATTTGCTGTATTGACGTGCCGAGCTCACACTGTAAAGAGGAGTTTTAACGTAGCACGGCTGGTCAATAAAAGTCGCATAGCCACGCACAAAGAAGCGACTTATAGAGACAATGTATACGTCCAAATCGATTTGACGATTTGGTTGGACTCGCGATGACTCTCGGAGCGCGTTATAGTATGCGTATACGCGCGTACGCGCCGAGAAGAGTGAGTCACGCATGTCGACTTTCTTCTCCGTCTCTCTAGGCCTCCCCTAGCGCGAAACGTGCACTACCGGCATCGCCTCTCTCGCACGTTTACGGACTCGCGATTTCATCTATATGGAGGTGACGCACATTTTGCTATAGACGCGAGGTACATTTGCTGTGCTAGTCGTCCCTCTCTCGCTATCTGTTTAGTTTTGCGAGTTAAATTTAGGTGTATACGCCTGCCTCTTTGTCGTGCAGTTTTAATTGAACGCACGCGATGCCCTGAGCAAATGAAACGTATCAGACTTGAATCTTTCATCTGGCCTAGTGATAATAATATGTTCGTGTAAATTGTTTGTTTTTGTTATACCGTGTACCCTGTTTCGTACTTCTCTTTAGAAAATATATACCATGGAACTTCGGATCCACATATTTTCATGTTCATTTTATACAATACTTTATACAATATTCTGTACGCAGAATAACTCTTTGGCAAGTGCAACTCCATCAAATCTCCGGCATTTCATAAATCTGTTAAGCAAGAAAATATATTTTAAAAAAGAGTCTTTCAGCACAGCTAAAAGCTGAAACAAAGGGAGAAAAAACAAAGCCGCTTGAAGCTAGATGCAAAAGCGGTGGTGAGTAAGAGCGTTCCAGAGGGGGAGGGTGGTGGTGGAAGAGGGAGGGTAGATACATGCAACCAAAGGCGAGCGAGTGGCAACGCTGGGGGTGAGTCATCATCCCTGGGGGTGATAGCAGGCTGTGGCAGTCGACTCACCCTCCCCGCTATTAAACTATGAAAAAAAGCCAAAAAAAAAGACAACCTGTATGCGCATCGCTCGGCTGACGCAAGAGATGATTTCTCTACGATGTAATCTCATCCCTTCTCTGTGTCAATGTGACGTCCACTTGGCAAGGGGTAGCTTTTCATCGTAAGCTCTTTATCGCAGGCTTGCACATGAGCAGCCAGAGGAGAGAGTATTATACAGTTACATTTAGACAGCTCGTCGCCCGGGAGAAAGAAACCACGTGTACGCTACTCTCTCATGCGATTGCTAATGACTCGACGATGATCGCCAAGCCGTAATTGGATCAAGCTTGTGAGCCTTTCATGTTTCAATTAAAAAGTTAATTGGCGCTGATACCTACTACTACAGGCAGGCCTTTCAATCTCGTATATTATTATATATACTCGATTTGTTTTTCTTTTACAGTCATTAGTGTGACTTTAAATATTTATACTCTAACTGGATATATGTACAGCAATGCATTAATGACTATGTGTTCAGTTCATTTTTTAATGCTTTTTTCTTTCTTCAAGAAAAATTACAAGAGCGTTAAATTTCTTTTTATTAGACTATTTTATTTTAACATTAAATTTTACATTTTATCTTTATATTGTTTTGGATTTTTATACTTTTTGTTTTGAATAAGGCTTATTTAGCGATTTATTTATTCAATTTGTTTATTTTCGAGAAGTTCGTTGATACGAATATCTGATTGCAAGTACATGTTAACCCCGCGTAGATATTTTTAAATATACACTTTCTTTCTTTCGTAATAAATTACCGTGTTTTATTTATTTATTGAGAGTAAGTGTAAAATACACACACGCACGCACGCACGCACGCACGCACACACACACACTCCGTAAAAATTATAATTCGACTCGATGAATTTTAATGTTAATTGGTGAAAACACCCAAAAATATTAAAAGTAGAATATGACAAAGAATAATTAACGCATAAGTGTGTCATTCGAATGGACATTGTAATTACAGCTCTCATAATAATAAATACAAGCAATTGCTCATGATTGACGAAATTAATGAATTCATACGAGACAATTCTTTAATGAATTGAAGGCATCCTCTCTACGAAAGCACGAGACGTAAACAACAATATAATAAACTCCATTCACACATAAACATAGAAGTAGGTATATAAGCTTTTATAATTCGGAGTGGAGACAGAATAAGAAATAGTGATCAAATAAAACAAGTTCGTAAATACTCGAGCGCGAGTTTTAATACAACACTTGTGCGTTTAGAGATACAGAGTCAATAGCTGATCAATCTTGGATCATAAACATTAATCTGCTCTCAGCGCCTACGGAGAGAGAATTTGATTTGGCATCGTATAAAAAGAAACAAGCACATTACGTACATGCAGCGAGAGGCTAGCGTCAACGTATACCCATAGTGCAGTGCACCAACATACACACACACACACACACACACACACACAGGCTCGTACGCACGCACGCACAGCATATACAGCAACGTTTCTCTCTTGAACATTATAATTGCATGACTAGTGCAGCTAGAGAGCATGTATAAGATAAACGTCAGTGTGTGTGCGCGCGAACGTGTACCTATTCGCGAACAGACGGCGAGAAATCGAAAAGTTGGCAACACTGCAGAGCCTCGCTGCTCTCTCTCTCTGGTACGACGACGGCCGTTGCTCGATCGAGAGCGAGCACATACGTACATTATATAGAACTGAGCGAGAGAGAAAACAAAAAGGCAAAGTCCAAGAGAGATAGCATCATTGGAATCGTGCGAGCGGCAGAGCGAGAGAGAACGAGGCAGACAGCGCGCGGGCGCGAAATTCGAAAGTAGTGGGAGATCGAGTCAACCAATGAGAATGCGGCATTTGTACTTCCCCCGTGTCGGCCCACTTGGAACGAGTTCGGGCTTGAAAATCTCTAACGGACGCGGCGACCGGCGGCGCACATTCGTCTCCTGGCACTCGCGACGCGCAGAGTTCCACGGTCGTACGAGAGAAAGCGACGCTAAAGACAGAACCCACAAGAGGTTTTTTATATACACACGAAGCACACGAAAGACAACACGACACAACCATGAGGGAAATCGTGCACATTCAAGCCGGCCAGTGTGGTAACCAGATTGGTGCCAAGGTGAGTTCTTTAATACAGCGCTTCTATATTCCCTATTAGGAAATTTGAGCAGACACGAAATTCCATCGTATCCGCCTTTCACGGTAACCTTGATGTTCCTTTTCTTTCTCGTCTTTTTCGTCCTACGTTTGTATGTCGGTGTGTCGTGAAGCGAAAAAACCGTTAGACGTACATTCTTTCTAGAGAGAAATTTGCACTTTTTCCACGAGAAGACATTACGGCTTAACCAGCCCCCTCCCCTCTCAGTTTTTGGTAGCGACAATGGGAGAAAAAACCGTTGGCAATGCGGTAGGAAAAACTGCTACAGAGGTGGGGGGGACGCGACACGATACAAGTACACAAGTACAATAGAATCGACCAGTAGTCTGTACGGGGGTTCGGGAAAATGCATCTCTATTTTCGCGCGTGGTGCAAAAATGTGCAAAAAGTGATGGAGTGCCGGGTCGAGGAACTTAGCATGGCGACGCCGCAGTTTAGCGCGCGCGCAACATCGAACGACCGAAACGGAGAGATAGACAAAAAATGCGGGCTATTTGCCGGCCGGCACCACCTTTCAATGGCTTTTCATAGAATAAGATTTTCGAAGTCGTAACTCATCGGTAATCTGGCCACTCGTTTTAATTTATAAATCCTTCAGTGCGGCCCATTATTTATTTATAAATCGTCGATATATATAGGTTTTGGAGTATCTTAGTTGCCGCCATTTTCACAATGGAGCAGTAAGGTCCTTCTACGGGTCTTTGGGACGGTGGATTAGCTAAGCATGTTGAATCAATAGCTCGAAAAGGATATTCAAATCTAATGATACGGCCGCCGAGCAACAAGCGGCGTGAGTCAGTGGGTGTGTACATGTATGTGCCTGGGTGTGGCAAAACGGGCGTACTAGCAGATCTTTCTCCGTGGGGAGGACGTATAATACACGCTCCAAGCGAGAGAGAGAGAGAGAGAGAGAGAGAGAGAGAGAGAGAGAGAGAGTGTGAGTGACGCGACGAGGGGCCGCAGCAGCGCTCACCGTCGTTGATGCGGCAACGGCATCGAACGGTTGCGCGCGCAGCTCCGCTCACCAGCTCGCTCGCTCTCTTTCTTTCATACACATGTTCCCATCTATTATACCGACTGTTGTATCGCCTTTCTCTTATCCTTTTTTTTCTTTCTCTTTCGGTCTACTAACGCATTATTTTACTCATCTCGCGCTTGCGTACCTAAAGGAATTTCTTTACGATCTACAGCCGCGTCATCCAGCCGTCATTACTTGGCCCAGGTGTGCTCTATCGCGAGAGAGACCGGCATTCACCAGCGGTTCTCATTCGAAGTAGAGCTTGTATACAGTTGACAAAAGAGATGGATGAATTTGATTTGTTCCTCTGTCTGGCTTACGCCCGATCAATTTTAGTTCGGGAATATTTTTTTTTCAACCTTCGGGTTTTCGATCTGTTTTTTGGTTTTTCTGCGACAACCCCTTCTCTCGAAGTAATTATATATATATGAGCTACCTCGATACACGACAACTTTGTCTCTGAAACTTTCTAATGCGGTTTATAGAAACGTTCAAGATTAAGAGGGAGACCACGAAAAGGCTTGCCTAGCATATATTTCTCCTTGACGACACGACCTTACCATTGATGTATTTTCTGTGTAAAGTCGCGATTTCACTGTATGCTGATGCACGATTTTCTTTTTTGTCTCATTCTACCTACCAGCGAATGTCTTGCTGACATGTCATATTAAAATAGCTATTTTTACCGAATATATCTAACTCGTAACGAGATAGAATTTGGATAACGATGAAGCATATTTTACGTGAATTATCGTATTTTGTGGTTCATATTTTGTGTATTTTTTATCCAACTTTGTTAAAAATTATATATGACTTTACTAAATCTTTAAATTAAAGTAGAATGATATTTCGAATTAAAATTATTTTTATGATTAAAATATTAAAATAATAACTGTTACTGATTAGTCCAACTATGTTTCGACTACTCCCAAATTCCAAAACGTGTAAAAATTTTGACATCGCAATGCGCAACTTATGACTCGTAACAGTTTCCTATCTCGCGAAAAGAAATTAATGCCTACAATTCCGTTATCAAGACAACGATATATAATACTAATAAAAATAAATTAAAACGAATTTTTGTCGAATAAAAAACTGCCGTTTATCATGCACATACTTCTCGATGAAAGAGAAAAGAAAAATGCATCTCTTCAATAACTTGTACACGTGTGCGCCTACGCGAGAGAATCGATTTTCCTTGCTCATTATCTCTGCAAGATTGCAATCTTTTTCTTGCGAGCATCGCTATACAATGGCCGCGATTACTTTACCCCTCTTCGATACGACAGATGTGTGGCTTTATGGACATTTTGGTTTGGCAAGGCTCTCGCGAGTCGGCGCCCGTTAAAAAGATGAAGTAACCGCGCGTATCGTCACGCTTCCGCGGCTTTCAAGGATATCGCATCGAAGTCAATGTCCGCTGGCCGACGCTGCCGCTGCATCTTGGCTATGCTTCGAGAGAGGTTCGGAGCTTCCTCTTCTTCCTCGTGTGTGTTTTTCATCCCGGATGCCGAGCTTTTTCCTGTATTACTGCCGCTGCTTAATTTTTATTTGATCGATCGCGTGTGGCGTAATACGTTCAGTGCTGTAAACCCCTTAATTGAACGACCGCAATGACCGCGAATGGAAAAAAAATGCACTGCTTGATAGCACCTTTCCCATTTTTTTGGTTTGCAATTTATTTTACTGCGCGCGCCTCGTTACGGTTTAAAAAAAACATTGTTTTTCTTCTTCGAGCTAAAATATTATTTCACTTGAAAATTGTATAAGCAACGGAAACTATGATGTGGGAAAAAATGATTACTTGATTACTCTGCGTAACGCGTACAATTTCTCATTGAAAAATTAGATTCTACTACTTAGAAATAAAACGATGAATGAACACGAGTGAGTAGCAATGTGATATATTTCTAAGATCGCATTCATGACAACTCATCAAAAGCTCTACTATTTCACTAGATGTAATGAAAGCGCACACGAGGATTCAAAACAATTTAGGTCTTATATTTTTCAAACTCGTTCGTAGTGATTCGCATTCATTAATTTAAATTGCATGGTACCGTGGTGTAACGAAAGAGAGCACGTGAGTCGCATTTATCGAACAGCTCTAAAATCGGACGTCCTGTCGCTCGCCGCTCGCTCGCGATCTGGTTGTAACGACGAGACGACGACGCGACGTTGTTACGCAATGATTACGCGTGTGCGTGCCGCGGCCGTGCGGCGCGTATGTCGCGACGACATCTTTGGGCCCAAGGACGACTACTGCCTCTCACGCATTCGCCGTACAATAGTTGGATCGCTGGCCAAATAAAGTGAATTTTAACGAGATCTCTTGTAAGCAACATCCGAGAAAAAAAGACGACGATGATGCGTTGTTCACATAGTATTTCGCTCGAGGTCACTGCATGTCGATAAATGACATGTTGATCGTGGTCTGATTACTGATTAATATTGATACATGTTCGTTTTTTGCGATCAACACTTTACTCGCAGCGGGATTTCAAATATAATATAACACTAAATCGCGTGTAGATTTTAAGCGGAGAAATTTTCATTGCAAGAGTCGTTGGCTCAGGTTCAGCTCTTCTATAAAGGAGGAAGCGTCTTGCAGCTGTTCCTCGTTCAGCTGTCGTCAAGGAAATTCCAAAGTCTGTTTCTCCTCTTTCTCTCTACTTCGTGTTACCTATACCCTTCCGACCTACTATCCTTAGTCCAAATGTTGGTTCCCCAGACAAATTTCTTTTTTGAACCTTCCATTTAAATTTACATCCTGTCGGAAGTATTCAGTTTTTTCGACTTCGTTTACCTCGGATCACCGAAGTGTGGTCAGCGTAAAAAGTAGAGTAATTACGTCTTGAAATGTATAGGGGGAAGGTGGAAAAAGCAGCACTCAAGTGCAATTTGAATAAGTGTTTTAATTATGTAAATACATAATTAGACTAGGAGCTTGAGCTCGTCGTACGGGTCCATTTTGTGAATCATGCTCGTGTGCACGCGATCAGACTCTATTATTTTACAGTTTGAATTGATTTCCTGATAAAATTGTTAATTGGTAAAGCCTATGTTTTTCAAGTTTTATTAAAATTGCTTGACTTTTCGAAAAGTTTATTATTTTTATTCGTCGTAAAAATCGATTGTCGATAATAGATTTTCGAAATTTTCAATTAAAGTATCGTAACATACAAATTATCATTACTTTTACCTAGTGCTCACTTGCAAATTTAATTAAATAAAGATGAAAAAGTTGGGATTTCACGTTAATTTGTAGAGCGGACATGCAATTGCAAGAAAAGACCCGTTATCCGCTCAAACTAAAAATCCGCCAAAGAAACAATGATATTTAAAAAAATCGTCAAATTTACATAATCTCTCGAACAACTCTTACAAGTAACATCTTTGAAAGTCCATAATTTCTCTCTTCCCGCTGGGCTTGTTATTTTTCTTTTCTTTCTTTTTTTTCGAAAGAGCGCACACACCTATCTCTTTTTCACTCATTTATGGTCAAAGCGCATTGCTATATATAGCGCTGACATTGGTGACTCACCCTCTCTCCCCTTAAGCGCTCTCGCCCGACTCGACGTAATAAAACGATCGCGTGGGAGGTGACGGCGGAGGAGGCTCACGGCGAAAGACTCGATGCACTTATATGGGCATCTGCTGTCAATACACCATCTCGCGCCTTTCCATTTACGACGGCGAGAGAGAAAGATACCTCTAAAAAAAAGAAATTTCTACGTTAAGAGAAGGTTATTATCGGATCTTTTTATCGGCTATAACTCTTTTTTTTAAATGTCCCACAACGCCAACTTGAACTTGAGATTTGGCCTACGGCCTTGTTAAGAATCTCGTCTTGATTGATAATAGAACAAGAGCTATCAAAATTTCTATAATAGTAATTCTCGCACACGCAACCACTTGATTCGAACGATTCATACTTTTGGAGTTATCTGTTGACATTTACGTAATAGCACGAATAAGGCCAAGTTTTATTACTCTCTCAATAATCAAAATTTCGTGATTGTCAATGACTTTACGAGCTCTTATCCGCAGATGTGAGTCGACACAGCTTTTGAAAATTCATGTTTGCAAGCAAATATTTACTCGTGCTTTTGAACTAACGCCATTATGTATAGCTGCGAAACACTTAATAGTGTAAGTCTTTTAATAGCGCTACCTCGTTTAAAGAGAGATCTGCATGAAAAAAGATATGTCGATCATGAATGTAGGAAGAAAGAAAGAAAGGAAGGAGGTAGGTGGGCAGGCAGGCAGGCAGGCAGGCAGGCAGGCAGGCAGGCAGGCAGGCAGGCAGGCAGGCAGGCAGGCAGGCAGGCAGGCAGGCAGGCAGGCAGGCAGGCAGGCAGGCAGGCAGGCAGGCAGGCAGGCAGGCAGGCAGGCAGGCAGGCAGGCAGGCAGGCAGGCAGGCAGGCAGGCAGGCAGGCAGGCAGGCAGGCAGGCAGGCAGGCAGGCAGGCAGGCAGGCAGGCAGGCAGGCAGGCAGGCAGGCAGGCAGGCAGGCAGGCAGGCAGGCAGGCAGGCAGGCAGGCAGGCAGGCAGGCAGGCAGGCAGGCAGGCAGGCAGGCAGGCAGGCAGGCAGGCAGGCAGGCAGGCAGGCAGACAGATAGACAATCGACAATGCTCGGCATTATGCAGTAGCAGCTGGCATTGTTGCCGGTCGGTCGGTCGTGCACGTCCGGCCGCGGACGGGTACTCTGCCCGGTCAGCAGACGCTAATTGATCTCAATTGCCACTCGACTGAACCCCTCACTGTCGACCACGAGTATCGCGGCCGAATGATTCGACGCGCCATCGTTTTTTTTCTCTTTATCGATTTACACAGACAATAAGGTATTAAAACTTGTGTTTTTTTTTATTACAGTTCTGGGAAATCATCAGTGACGAGCACGGCATTGACCCGACTGGAGCATACCACGGAGACAGCGACCTCCAACTCGAGAGGATCAACGTCTACTACAATGAGGCATCGGGTGGCAAATACGTGCCCAGGGCTATCCTCGTGGATTTGGAGCCCGGTACCATGGACTCTGTCAGATCTGGCCCATTCGGTCAAATCTTTAGACCTGACAACTTCGTGTTTGGTCAGTCTGGCGCTGGTAACAACTGGGCCAAAGGTCACTACACCGAGGGCGCGGAGCTCGTTGATTCGGTCCTCGATGTTGTCCGCAAGGAGGCCGAGAGCTGTGACTGCCTTCAAGGCTTCCAGCTGACCCATTCGTTGGGAGGTGGTACTGGATCCGGTATGGGAACCCTTCTCATTTCCAAGATCCGTGAAGAATACCCTGACAGAATCATGAACACCTACTCGGTCGTCCCATCACCCAAGGTTTCCGACACCGTTGTCGAGCCTTACAACGCTACCCTCTCGGTTCACCAGCTCGTTGAAAACACCGACGAGACGTACTGTATTGACAACGAAGCCCTTTATGACATTTGCTTCAGAACGCTCAAACTGTCCACCCCCACATATGGTGACTTGAACCACCTTGTATCTCTCACAATGTCTGGTGTCACAACTTGCCTCAGGTTAATATTTTTTTTATGTTCTTGGGAAGATGAAAAATGAAAATGAGTTTATAGTAACAATAATTTAATTTTACAGGTTCCCCGGACAGCTAAACGCTGACTTAAGGAAATTGGCAGTGAACATGGTGCCGTTCCCGCGTCTCCACTTCTTTATGCCTGGCTTCGCCCCTCTGACCTCTAGAGGCAGCCAACAGTACAGAGCCCTTTCGGTGCCCGAACTTACCCAACAGATGTTCGACGCCAAGAACATGATGGCCGCCTGCGACCCACGACACGGACGTTACCTCACGGTCGCCGCCATTTTCCGTGGACGCATGTCCATGAAGGAGGTCGACGAGCAGATGCTCAACATCCAGAACAAGAACAGCTCATACTTCGTCGAATGGATCCCTAATAATGTTAAGACCGCCGTGTGCGACATCCCACCACGTGGTCTCAAAATGTCCGCTACCTTCATAGGCAACAGCACCGCCATCCAAGAACTGTTCAAGCGTATCTCCGAACAGTTCACTGCTATGTTCAGAAGGAAAGCTTTCTTGCATTGGTACACAGGCGAGGGTATGGACGAGATGGAGTTCACTGAGGCAGAGTCCAACATGAACGACTTGGTCTCTGAGTACCAGCAGTATCAGGAGGCTACCGCCGACGAGGACGCCGAATTCGACGAGGAGGCCGAGCAGGAGGTCGACGAGAACTAAGCCTATCGCTATTTCATAGGATTTATTCTTTTCTTTTTTCTCACGTGCATCCCCAGCTCCCTCCAACATACACATGCCAAGAGAAAAAAAAACCTCTACACACAAATTATAAAAACTATATGATAAAAAACAAAATTCCGCTTCATCTTCGCCTATTTATCTTTCTCTCAATTTCCGTATTTTATGTTCCCTCTATTTTGCCCCTTATTCTTTTTACTCATTACGTTTGTTAATATTTTTTACGAATATAGTGCACCTGGTTGCGAATCTCTGCGAGACGCGCGTGTTTTTACTTTTATTTTCATTTACCTAAAATCCTATATTTCTCCGTCCTTTTTTATCTCATTTTTCAAATTTAGTTTTCTTACCTGTCTGTCAATCATTGTCAAAGTGTACCATCAAATATGTGAAGTGGTTTTCTCTTTTGTTAAACAACAAAAATTGCTGAAAGTAAACACAATTCCCAATGTCGTGATTTCGTTGTATATTTTCGAGATTATTATTTTGTATAGCGTCGACTCGAAATCGCTACTAGCTACTTCAAGCTGCCACTTGTCATGAATTCTTATTCGAATAAAGGTACATTTGATTAACAAGCAATTGAAATGGTCGAAATATCCTTATTATTTTTCTTTTTAGATAGCTTGGAATGTGACCTTTTTAGGGCTTGGAAAATATTAACTTTTCGGTTCTTTAACTATTACATTTTCCATTCGGAGGCATTAGATCAATAAACCAATTAAAAACCAATGGTAATGTTTTCAAACTTGTTCATCAATTGCCACTAAAACTATTTTGAAAACGTTTTTCTGTACAAATAGTATCAGATTTTTCAAAATTTTCTAATTAAACTGTTCATGTCAGATCATTTCCAGTATAAGGCGCATGTGACTTTATCTACAGTAGATATGTGTATAAGTTGGATATAACTGGTGAAACCTTGTGCTATCAGATGGCTGTTCTATCTTTGATTTTCATATTGTTAATATGCTTTAAAACTACTTTTTTATTTTTATGCTTAATACTGAAACTCGATGTAACATATTCGCTACGTTTTTTAAATTAACAATTTATAATTTAAACGCAACATCAGAATCAAATAAAGTGTATTGCAAAACAATTGAAATTGTTTTTAGTTTACTTAAGGTTTCTAAATGTGATAAGCTTCACGTTAACGTAAAATATATTTTGACGCCTTTAGTTTTTGAAATATTATGTAGTGAAATTTTCAATTTGCAAACAAGATTTTTTTTTAATTAAGTCTGTTTATATTTTATCAATTCAGTGTCGCTGAAATCACATTTATTTACATCCACATTGAAGTTGATAGTAGTTATTCGTTAAAACATCGATACATCCACCGTTTATCAAATTTATGATGGAACGCTAAGCGAAATTTTTTATCCAAGCTTGAATTAAGCAAGCCTGCAAAAATCGAACTCTTAACAATTTCCTGTAGGCAAGCCATTGAAATTCCACGTCACGTTGAAAACCCAACAGTGTTCTACAGTTGCTTCTTTTTTGTAAAAGTGCTTCGCCCTTGCTTCTTTTTTGTCTTTACAACAAAACCTGGCTCTTGGTTTTTTTTTTCTTTTCGAGCCGTCTACTGCAAGGAGGAGAGACGAACGAGCAAGCGAGTGCAGAATAAAACGAGCAAAGCGAGAGAAAATGCCTACAAAAAGAGAAGACGCTCTCGGAGCTCAAGCGGCTAAAATCCATTTTCGAGATCTGCAGCTCGAATGTCTCGCGCTCGAAGCGTCGAAATGAAGCACGAGCCTTCTTGGCTCTACTCTTCGTCACTATAAGCTTTCTTATACTCTTTGAAGATATTACTATGCGTTTCGTGGTGGCAACGCGGGCGGCATATGGACGCCTTCAGACTTCAGAGCTTTTTATGACTACAAGAAACGTTTTGTGTTGATGTATGATAACAAATTCATTTGTAAATTTATTTCGTTTATTTATTTTACAACCTACAATCAGTTAAACCGGTATGACCAGTTTATCATCAACGTACAGAGAAGGAATTTTCTGCTCTTTGTAGGAATTGGTATAATGCAAACATGTACATGTAAAATATAATACTATAAACTTAATCTAAAAAAGTTGGTAGTTGAGATTGTTTTTAAGTATTAGTAAAAAATGTAGTAACAAAAATGCAGCAATGGGAACACAATGCATTATTTATCGTAGAAGGCGTATTTGCTACGATTCCTTGCCATTTTTCTAGTTTTAATTTAACTCTTTTTTTGTAAAATAAATTTGCAATTGAATTTTTTTTACGAGAAACTGTTTGAATATTGATATATAATAAATTCGTAAATTATCATAACGATGACTGGATTCATTGTTTAAATTATGAGTGTCTCAGAAAAATAGGGGTTTCACCTAATCTAAACGGAATATTAATGTATCAAAAAATATTCTTAGTCACTTTTTTCTGTTAATAATCAACGTAATTCAAAGTGTTCGTTAAAATTGAGCAATATGTTAATTAGTTATTATTAAAAAATCGCTCACAAAGATATTTTTCAATAATTTCTTTCATTTGCATTAAATAAGAAAATTGAAATAAAACTAAAAAATGAGGTACTTTAATCACCGAAACATATGTGTATTTTTTTAATTGAAATTTCGCATATGTAATAAACATTGACATTGTTCGTATAAAAGAGGCTTCGTTGTGAATATCAATAATTTTTGAAATAAGGACAAACGTTTTTTAATTTATTAAAAAATTATTGAAAAATTACTGTTTATTATGGAACATATATAATTAGTTATCTTTATAATTAGTAATGTACAAAATTTATCTTTGAATTATACTAATCTCTCAAAGATAAATTTGGAAAAATGGCTCTCTAGCTTTATTTATAACAAACTTACAATTTTTGTTGCAAAAGTATTTTTTTATTCAAAATTAATTTAAAAAATATTCAAACAATTTTCTTTCAAATAAGGGTCAGTTTGATGTAAAATATGAATAACGAGCACACCCATAAGATAAAATTACAAGCACTTCATTTTCTGTAAAAGAATACGGAATTTCATTAACTTTTTTTATTGATCGAAAATTCAAATATTTATCCGGAAACGTTATAACGAATATGATGAATGTATGAGAATTTCTTTTTATTAAATGAAATTACAAAAATTGTTATACGTACTAAAACAACGAATTAAGTTAAATGAACATCCTTATGGTAATTTAAGGATTTATTCTACATCGAAATTGATACAGATTTGTAAAAAGAATGTAATTGCAAATTTATTTACAAAATACATTGTACGGAATCTAGGTTGCCTTGACTAATTATGCTTTCGGTGCATTTGATCGCACTGAAAGAAATTTAGTTGATTTTATTCAAAACAATTCTATATATAATTTACGATTTAAGACACCTATAATTAAGAACTGCATATTACTGAAAATAAAGTGATTTAAAGTAAATACGTTTAGACGTAGGCTAGTTATACTAGTTATACTTTTATCTTATACTCTGTAATGAAAGCTCAGTAAAAGATGATTTGAAGGCTTCCATTCAGGTGCATAATTTTATATAAATTTCAGTTTACACCATAAAAATTATACAAAATGTTTATCATTGGGCAGAAAATGTTAACTGCGATATACTATTGTCAGTAAACATGTATTATATAGTAATATTCAATGACTCTTTCAGGAAAGCTCGTTGATGAAAACCTAAAAAAATAACACATCATTTCATTTTGGTAAATTGTTTCTGCCTTCTGGTTGAAGCTGTTTCAATTACTAAGTGTTCATGACTAGGTATGAAAACTTATTATTCAATCAAAGAGTTACGTTGAATTTCCGGCCTGTTACAATTTTCTGCAATAAAGTGCATAGATAGTTGAACTAGACAGTCAGTGTACCGTTAAAATCCTCGCGATGAATACCTTGACAGTGTTTCTGCTGCTATGCGCAGTAGTTGTAACAAAAGTGCAAGTAAGTGCTTCAATGTCCACTTGAAATTAATGGCTCGATAACGGTCGACTTTTTTACGCATTGCAGGCTAATATCCCCAAATCGAAGTTCAATCCTGAACTAAAAAATGTATGGGATAAGTGCACGAAAGAAGCTAAGCTTACTGAGGCTGAGTTAGATATAGTTCTGGAAAATTACTCCAAAATTACAGATCAAAGAGTGAAATGTCTGAAAGGGTGCCTTTTCAAATCACTCCATGTTGTAAGATTGTACTCATTCAATCATTGTATTACGTTTACAAAACATTTACATTATCCTCTATGAGTAAATGATTTTTACAAATGTTTCGGATTAATTAATTTGACTTTTACTTGATGCAGATAAATATTGACAATAAGGTCAATGAAACTGCAGCCGAAAAGTATTACGAAGGTGTTACCACTAAAAAAGAAACTATCAACGAGGCAATACAAAAGTGCATACCAAAAGCAAGTAAGAAAACTTTTTATGATGTATAACTAATGAAATTGCGTAACGGAAATTTGATCAAATATTTTGTTTTCCAGCTGGAAATGATCATTGCGACATCGCTCAAAACTTTGAATCCTGTCTTTGCTCTGAATATATTAAGTGTAGCTAATGTTAGTGGCGTAACATTACCAAAACAGTTTTATTAATTTTTGTATTTTATTTATTAATTTTTTTATAGTATATGATTTGATAGTTCACTAATTATGTTTAAAAAAAATATATTCATATATTATTTCAATAAAATTGACTTTCAACTACCTAAATTTGTTCAAATTGTGTAATCCTTGTTTTAAAATTTCAGGCAATTTTTACTTTCAATTTTGCTAAATGTGTATATTTTTCAAACAAAAAAATTTAGCTGTATAGGTTCGAGTATATTTAGCTTTTGTTGAAAAAGTGTTCTTTACAGCTTGACAAGTTGATTGATTTTGCCGTTTTTTCATAATTTTAATAAATGTATTTCTATATGAAAAAAAATAATAATTATACAGATGGTGACTTGGAGTTAATATAACTAAATAAATAGTAACACTTTTGGTATCAATAATTTTAAATGACTTGATCAGTTAATTATAATAAAAAAAAACAGTAAAAATAAAAATGACATTTCCAATGTATCCAATAATCCTAGAAGAATTGTAGTTAATAAATATTATAAATTCAAATGAAAGCACGTCTTTTCAGAACTATAATGAAATTCATCAGACGAACACACGAAAGAATGATGCAAGCAAAGATAAATTCGAAAAACACGTACATCCAATGGTCAAACAAGCGTTTACGAGGTCTCCGCAAACGGAAGCGATTAATCGCGCAGCAGGCACGAACGGGCGTGGATTTCCAAACAATCATCGCGAGAGCAGTTCGCAGCTCTGACAGATTGATAAAGAATCGGTCCGCGGGCGAGCTATCAAAGGCGCAGTGGAGACGCGGCACTGGGATCGTCGGCACTTGCGCAGTTGCAGCTGGCGCGCGCGCGCGCGCTCTCACTCGCTCTCTCGCGCTAGTTCACCAGGACTGGGAAGCCGCCGGCTTTGCCTGCGCCCATTCGTGCTCGAGACTTTGACTAGAGTAGCAGCACCACCACCATCACCCGGCAACATGAGGGAAATCGTACACCTGCAGGCTGGTCAGTGCGGTAACCAGATCGGAGCCAAGGTAAGTACGCAGTTTTTTTATCCGCGATTTGCTTTCCTGGCGTTCACGCGTTGTTTGTGTCGCAACTCAAATATACGAGATTGTGATAAATTCGCTTGACTCAGATTGTCAACTCTTGGACGTATTATCGAGCCTTTTCAGAAGCTTTCTACCGTCGTTTCATATTCTTTCAAGTTTAGCTCTGATCTTTAATATTTTTTCCAAGTTAACTCTTTCCCTTGTTGCCTCGTGTTTTTTTTTTCAAATTCAGGCAGACTTTTCAACGTTTTGTTCGAAAGAACAGACGAACCGCTATCGCCGAACGAAAACCCGTAGCTTGGCAAATAATGAAGCTCGCGTCCAAAGAGAACGTGGCACGTAGCACGTGTTGCTACGCGAGAATGAAACGATCGAATGAGAAAGAGAGAGAGAGAGAGAGAGAGAGAGAAAGGCAAAGAAGCGACAAGATCGAATTAACTGCACGAGAGCGAGGGAAGCTGATTGAAAGATTGCGAATAAGAGAATACTCTGCATGCTTGATTTAATCGGCTGTTTTTCGCGCTGCGCTGCTCTGAGAACCGACCACGACGCCGATTTTCTTTCTACTCGCGAGGTGAAACGTTACTTGTCGATTTATTGCAAAGCTTGCACATCGTTCGAATACTTTTTAGCGGGTTGTTTTCGTGACGAGAAATAAGCGAGGAAATGCCCGTGGCTGCGAGTTTCGCTTGAATACAATTATTGAAGTTTCTAAAGCACATGAAACGTCGTATCGCCAACTTACAAATCCATTACTGAAATTGCTAATTTTGTCAACGCGGGACACGTCACACTGCGTGAAACGCTTTTATGCAGTACTAGCATTCGACTCGCAGCTGTTGCATGCATACATATGTGTGTATTTTGGAACGTCATCGTAGGACGGATCGTTACTCATCGCGCTAAAAGAGAAAAAAAAATGATTGAAACGCGTTTTCTTCTTTCACGCGAAACATCGACACAACATAAAAATATAAGCCCGACGCCTACATTTGTTGACGATATTGATGTCGCGCGACATAAGAAGGACTCGGTTCACCATCCACAATTAAAACGGAAATACGTAAGCCGATACTTTACCTGTATCCGTCCTTGTAGTACTTCCTTGGCAGCGGCAGCCTTGGAACGCTCGACAACGAAAGTGCAGCCCTTCGGCTCTCAACGTACTCATTGGAAAATTCGATACGTCTTCGTTTCACCGTGCACGCGAATAAATTCCTCGACGTCGCTGTCTTTTAAATTAGTTGACAGCCGGCGAGATCATCGAATACGCGGAGAGTGGTTCTGCATCGCTGCCACTTTGTCTATTTATATAGCTCTCGAAAGCGTCGATGTGTCGTCCTCGAGTATCGGAGAAAATGACGTATCGATGATAGTCGTAAAGTAACAATTGCCGCGCGCGACGCAGAAAATAAAAGGGAAGCGCCGGGGCAATCGAGAAAATCGAAAACAACGCCGTCACGATTCGTCAGACGACACGCTTGCCGTCGAACAGTGCCCGCGGTCTCCGCGCTGCGTTATCGCGCGACGGCGACGGCCGTAGAGCCTATACTTAGCCTTTCGAGGAAAGCCGGGCGATGCCAGTGACTCTTTAAACGCGAGCCGCGGATGCACGGCCGAGCTCTCTGCCCTCGCTTTCACGCTCGTGCAAACGAAATTTCTGCCGTAACACGTGACTCATACGCGCGCCCGTCTGCCCTCCGAGCGATATCGTTCGGCATATATAATGCCAGCCGCTTGAATAGAGGGATAGTCTCCGACGCGCCGTCATTATGCCATAAGTAAAGGTCTCGAAGACGAGGCGAAATGATTTCCGGATGGTACTCTTTTTATTGGAGAGCTTTCCGACGTTTTACGCGGTGTGTTACGTGATTTTACGAGGCTTTCGTACGGCTCCAACTCTTTTTCTGTCTTCTTTTTTTTTTTCTTTTTTCTGCTGAAGAGAGTCTCTTGGGTGATTTAGGAACGTAACTAAGCGTAAACTGCCGCGAGAGCTTGATTGCCCTGTAAAAGTACTCAGCGGGCTTGTATGCTTTTTTCTATCTCTTCGAACGAGTTTTATAGTCACGCAAAATTATATAAAAATAAAATCGAAAGAGTCAATTCTACGTCGAGTTTAACGACGTTGTAAGTTTTATAATGAGACTGATAATACGTTATCAGAGAATTCAGATGGACGATTCATCAGCGAGACAATGATGCTCGAATAAAAGTTTCATCTTAATTATTTTTGGCAGCTGTCGATGCGAAGACGAAATAGAAATCGAAGTTGTATTCGACGCGCGGTTTCGTGATTGTAAACAATCTCACAGCTCGACGAAACTATAATTGACGACAAAAAGCAGAAGAAATGGCAGTGGTAAGGAGAAAGAGAGAGAGAGAGAGAGAGAGAGAGAGCAAACGCACAAGTGCTTTATTAGTCACAGTCGTTTGGCGATCGTCTTCACAGTGCGGAGCACTGAGAGGCAACTATCTCGAGTCTGCGAGGCTCTTTATCGCGTATACGGCCTGACTCAACCTCTCTTTCATTGTCTAATCGCACTCGTCTCTCGTTCTCTCGAGAAGATCGGCAAAAAAGTAAATCGCGGCGCGTTCGCCAAGAGAAGAAAAAATGAACGAAGAACAGAAAGGAAGAAAATTGTAGCCACACATCCGCGTCTGGAAGCGAGGCGGCGCGCCTTTGCTCATTAACCGGTGAAAGGCTGGGAAAAGCTTGGAGTGACGCGCGCGAAGGTATTCCGATGATGCGCGAGCCGCGCGCGGATTTAATAATTTATAAGCGCGCCGCCCGGTTTTCAGCAAAGAAGCACTTCCGATCAGCTCTCGCATTTTTTCTTCTTTATCGTCGTCGACTCGACGCGCGCGAAGGTATTCCGATGATGCGCGAGCCGCGCGCGGATTTAATAATTTATAAGCGCGCCGCCCGGTTTTCAGCAAAGAAGCACTTCCGATCAGCTCTCGCATTTTTTCTTCTTTATCGTCGTCGACTCAATATTCAAATCGCGCGCGGGTCGGCCAGGCGCGTACGAAAGTGTAGGTACGTTCGCAGAAGTTTATTTTGAAAGTTAAATTTTCTTTTTTCCATGCGCGTGCCTCGGCTCGCGCTATTGTGCTACTTGCAAGTGCAGTTGCCGCGCGACAAAGCTCCGATATGAAACAGCTTGGTACTTGGAATCGCGCGACGCGCGATAGGCTGCGATGAATCGATCGATCGATCCCCGACCGTAGGATTGTCATCGGTACGACTGGATTATTTCGGAATGCCAGTCTAATGCGTTTCTAGGAAAAGTAGTATAGAGGAATGAATCGCAACTGACAGCGACAGATGAGTCGGCGAACGACGCGATTAGTCGCTATATAGCGCAACGATCCTCCGCTGTTGGCGGACGGCTCTCGAACGTAAACGGCTCTAATTGGGAATGCGCGCGAGTGTCGCGTGCCCCAGGTGGAATAATAGGCGTGTAGCGAGGCTGCCCCGTGCGGCGGCGCGGCGCCTCGCTCCGAAGATCGGCGAGCTGCATCGCGGCTAATTAACGCACGGCTCGAGGCGCGTTACGCAAGCGCCAAATTGGCGCGCCGAGAGAGTCTTCTGAAGAGCGGCCTTTGTGTGGTACGTTAACCTCGACGCTTATAAACTTATGGCTTTGGCGCGCGCGCGCGCGTACGTCCGACCGCGGCTGCACCGGAAAGACATTTTTAGGCTGAGGACACACCTATGGCAGTAGGCCTAGGCGCGAGCACGTCACATTTATATTCATTCGGCTGTTAAGCCGCCGCTATCTCTATATTTAATTGTACCGGCGGCTCGAGTCGATGACTGCTGATTCGCCTCGTTTTGGGTGCGCAAGCAGCACTCTCAATTGGCCGCGTACAACTGTTCCGGCGCGGAATTCGTTCTAATTGGCCGGGCTCTATTCTCAAAGTACGTACACTTGCTGTCATCAAAGGGAATACTTTCTTGATTGACGCGCTGCTCGGCTGATGTTGTGTGCTTTTGCAATTGGCGGTCATTGTCGCAGAAACGCGCAAAAACGCGGCAACTCGTCCCGACCGTTGATCGCGATCGCGGGACCAAGCCGAGCGGCGCTGGCCTTACATCCAAAGCCCGCCGAATGCACGGGGCTCCGAATCATTGACGATTCAGTTCGTTGCGCGCCGAAAAAACAAAGGAACGGCACATCGGCCGGATATATCTCGACGCGAAACGCACGTGTACGTGGAATCCACATGTGCGCCGCAGCGAGATTTACCGTTGAAATAAGCGCCGCTCGATTTTCCGCACGACGAGCCGTGCTGCTCTCGAGCTTTGTAGTTCGTGGCGGGATCGATGCCTCAAAGCTGCAGCCGGCCAACGTTCCGTTTCATAAAACGGATTTTACGGCCTTTCCTCGTAACCAACCCCCTTCCAGCCTGCATACTTTATGCGGAATTAAAAAGAACAATTGTAAACGGCAGATTTATATTTGTCCACAAAAGTCAAATGTAAAATAACAAAATGTTATGTCGAATATAAAATCAGGTTGAATTGCCCCGTGGCAGGTTTTTCATAAAGAATTAATGACAAGGATCACTACCAGTGAAAACTTCAAACGCCTCTTTCCATATTTATTAACCCTATCAGTCACAGAAGCCACTATAGCGACTATCTCATTTATTTTATTTTCTTGGTCATACTTTTTTTTATTTCTTTAAAATTTCTCGAGTCTTTTGCATTTTTAAAACATAAGAGACTCTTTTTGAATCAATAGCGTTTATTTATTAGTTTATAATTATTTATAACTGTTATAAGTATATTATATTTGCACTTCCAAATTGAAAAATATTGAATTTTAATCCTGTCAATCACGCAATTCAATCTTTAGTTTGGAAGTGCAAATGTACGGTTCCCTTGTATTTTTCGACGCTGAATCTGAATCCTATATGAAAAATGAAATAAATACAAAAACAACTTCTATAATAAAGTAAAAAACATATCTTTTTCATAATATTAATTTTCTTTATGTATTGATTTATAATTTTTTTTACAATTATTACATTCAAAATTTTTACATTTAAAATTACTTTATTTTTGCTTCCACAACAAAAAAATTTGAATTACGTGACTGAAAGGGTTAATCAACGTTTTTAATTCAGGTAATAAATTTTAAAATAATTGCCTCCAATTTGATGTCATTTACCCAATTAAACAACGTAAATGATATTGAATAGTTTTTCCTTTTCAACATTTATTGATTATTGTCGAACGGTTCAACTTACATTTACAATTATGCATGCACTGGTTTGACCAAAACACTAAAAGGTTATATCACACTCATCAGTATTACCTTTCTGCGGTCATTTGATTAATTTATGTGTACACCTTTTTGAGTGGTGAATTGAAATATAATAATCGAAATTCACACTAAAATTCATTATGATTTTAAAAATTACAAATATTTAAAATCAATTCAATTCAAGTAGGTATTATAAAACAGATAGAGGATTTTTGAAGTCTTCATTAATAGCAAGCATTATTATTATTTTTTTGTGAAAAAAACTTTAACTTTTGAAATAAATCAAATTTCACATTTGAATCGGGCAAATTGAAAGCTATCAAAGATGCAATTTTTATTTTCAATTTTGCATGACTTACGAAGGTTAAAAGGGGACAGGTTTCCTCGTAGCTCTGCCTGCACTCGCCGCAGCTATACTATAATTATATACGCTTTTCTCTCTCTCTCTCTCTCTCTCTCTCTCTCTCTCTCTCTCTCTCTCTCTCTCTCTCTCTCTCTCTCTCTCTCTCCAGCAAGCAAAGGAGAGGATGCAGTTATATGGCTCTGTGTGTTGTTAAGTTATGCCTGCAGGGCCTCACTCTCTCTCCCTCTCCCCACTCGCCTCATTCTTTCTTTCTCTCTCTCTCTCAATCTCTCTTTCTCTGTTTAATTGTGCGCTTCTGCGATATTGCGCTCTTGAGAATTATTATGCACTGCCGTATGAGTTTTCGTAAGAATACGTATTTTCAGGTATGTTGAGAATTACAGTATTCGACGAACTCGTCGTATATTTTTATAGATAGATAAATAAGCTCGTTGAATGTTTTATTATGATTGCGGAAACTGAATTGTAAAACGTTTTTTAGCACTGGCCATGCAAAGGAAAAACGCAGGAGCGGGAAAACGTTCGAGTGTAACTGTAAATAGCATGGAAAGTACGGAGCGATTAAGATCATCGCGGAGAGTCGCGAAGCTGACGATTCATAAATCGATCGAAAGTAGGCTGCGAGAGCCAAAGCAGCGCGGAGCCTAAATAATTTTCGCGTCCGCGCGCCTCGCTAAACCAGCTCAGATACGATGATAAAACGTTAACGCGTCAGAGCAAGATCGTAATTATCATCGGCATAGCGGCGCTTCCGTTCTCCTGACCCACATAGCGCGCCTGGCTTTCTTACATAGCGGCGAATTTATGGCCGATAACTCCGTCAAATCGAAGCGTCTTCCCGCGTCGGTGGGGCAAAAGAGGCGAGCAGTCGGGGCCGACGAGAGCCGCCGAGCGTGCGAATTGTAAATTGCAGGGGCGATATCGCGCCGCGCCGCGTCCCGGTCGGAGCGCGACGGACGCCCCGGCATCGGCTTTTCGCGCGGCGCTTTTCGGAACGTCCACGACGCGCGCATACCAGCGCGAGCCGCATGCGCCGCCGCTATGGGTCAACGCCTCCTCCTTGTTCGCCGCGCACTCTCGGCCGGCGTCTCTCGCTCTCCTCGCGTTTCCTGCGCGCGCGTCGCTGCTCCGCCGATTCGATGACGCCAGCGCCGTTTCGCACGTCGCGCGCAGTTTTAGGCAGCCGCGCTGCGCGGACTTGTCGATTCCGCGCGCGCGGCACGCCCAAGCCTTTTCGGCATGCCAAGCAGCTTCGCGGCTTTCGTGCTTCTCGTAACGATTGGCCGCAGCGCTTGTCGACCTATGCAAAAACGATATGACGTTTGACCGTGGGGAGGTGGGGGCGTGGTGCAGTCATCATTTTCGCGACTAGCTCGGTGCGCGCAAACGCTCGCGTTACATAAATTCTAATCAATGAATCTCGCTCCACCTAGAAATATTCTCGGGAAAGGCCTATTTATAAGCGAGGCAAGAAATAGAAACGGTACTCGCGCGACCGATGTGGAGCAGGAGAGAGGACTTGAAGGTTCTTCCAGCCAAGAAACCATGCGCACTGCAATGTAAATCCGTCCCCTCTTCGCTATTTTTATCGAGGCTGCGCATCAGCCCAAGTAAATCATTCTTTTACGTTAATAGTTGATTTTCGAATGTCAGGCGCTTTCTCACGGGAGAAACCTCAAACTGTCATTATAACTACAAGTTCAACGAGACCGACACGCTCGAGTTGATCCTCATCAACCCTTTTTTTCAAATATAGGTACTAAAATAATACTGGGCTTGTGGTACTTATAATTGACGTGTTGTTTAGCTTAGCCTTTGAATTACCATTATTTCAGGTTCTTCTTATGCTCGGTATTAACATTCATTGACAAATGAAGGATCTACGGGAAAAAAAAATTTTGTTTTGATTCAAATAAAAATCGACTATATTCTATCGTTGTTTTCTCCATTCAAAATACATGTCCAAAGCCATTATTTCAAAGACTCATGATGTATCGCAAATGTAATTGATTGAACTTAAATGATCGTGCTTAAAAATCGATTACAAACATATTTCCAAAACGACTATTTTCATTTTTTTTTTGCACTGCTCAATTACAGTGGATTAGTTTTTCAAATGAATGTGGAGGAAAGCGAAAAGCGTTTACATAAATTAAAAAAATTATAATTGTTTTTATGACAGTTCTGGGAAGTAATCTCCGAGGAGCACGGCATTGACCAGACGGGCATTTACCATGGTGACAGCGACCTGCAGCTCGAGAGAATTTCCGTTTACTACAACGAGGCATCCGGTAAGCGGCATCTCTCAATTTCCCACAGCATGGTTAAAAGAAAATAATTCAAATCCCATCGTGCCATGATCCTCGGCAAATGTCAATACACATATAGAATCGGTAATCAGGCGCAAGTCATAAAAAAAAAAGAAAAAGAAAAAAAGGAAAAAAGCAGAAAAGGTGAAGTGGCCACGGGTGGAAGGCGAAACATAGTCCCGGCTTAAAAATAGTCCACGCAGCGCGAGGCGCAGAGGCTGACATTTTTCAGATACTTTAAAGGCCAATGCCTGAAGGATGCACTTCGTCTCCGTCCGATGCCTCGGAGGGATCTTTGCGCGGGCAGCTCTAAAAACGGAGCGCGGGCACGGGAGGGATTCCAAAAGCGAAACAAACTTTCTGGCCCGGCGCGAGAGGGGCCGGCGAGCCGAGCCGAGCCGACGGAAATAAACGCTTTGTAGGAGTTGCAAAGCTCTCCTTTAGAACTCAATTTTTGAGAGTTCTCCGCGCGTCGACCGCGACCAAAAGAGATGGCCCGCGATGCGCTCTCCGCGCGTGTCCCGCGAGCTTCGCGCAAGTGTTCAACTTGCGCTCCCTGCAAACGAGTTAATTTCGTCGAGTCTTTTTAAGCTTGCGTATGTCTTTTTTTTCCAGCTTCTTTCTTTTTCGCTGCGAACGGCTGTCTATTTATGGACGGTTGAGAACTTAATTACCACTTTACTCAAAAATACAAGTTTATCAGGCACTTTCAGCTTGTAGGGTGGTAACGCGATTCTTTTTTATCCAAGTGTCATTAAAAACCTTCGATATTAGTTTATCAATGTTTTTACTATCTACGAAAATTGACATTGGTATATCTGTGAGACGCCTCAATTCAAAGAACCGCATTGCTTATAATAATCGTTTGTACTAAAGTTAATTCACAGATTTAACATGAGATTTCTTTCCGTCTGAAAGCTCACATCTGGTAGTGCACTTGACAAAATGTAAATAGAATTGAAATTTCTTGCTGTACAGTGGCGACTTCAACGAATGGAGGAAAGTACGTTCCCCGAGCGATTCTGTTGGATCTCGAGCCAGGAACGATGGACGCAGTGCGTTCCGGCGCCTACGGCCGACTTTTCCGACCGGACAATTTCGTGTTCGGTCAATCGGGCGCTGGAAATAACTGGGCCAAAGGTCATTATACCGAGGGCGCCGAACTCGTCGACTCCGTTCTCGACGTCGTGCGCAAGGAATGCGAGAACTGCGACTGTCTGCAGGGCTTTCAATTGACCCATTCACTCGGCGGTGGCACTGGATCTGGCATGGGAACTCTGCTTATTTCGAAAATACGCGAAGAGTACCCTGATAGAATTATGAACACTTACTCGGTCATGCCATCGCCAAAAGTCTCGGACACTGTGGTGGAACCTTACAACGCTACCCTGTCGGTTCACCAGTTGGTGGAGAACACCGATGAGACCTACTGTATTGATAATGAAGCGCTTTACGACATCTGCTTCAGGACACTCAAGGTATGAAATATTTGTTTATTAAGCGATTGCAATGACTTTGACAACAATGAGTTTTCCGTAGGTTTCCAATCCGTCTTACGGTGACCTCAATCATCTGGTCTCTCTCACGATGTCGGGCGTAACAACCTGCCTACGCTTTCCCGGTCAACTGAACGCCGATCTTCGCAAGCTCGCTGTCAATATGGTGCCGTTCCCGCGCTTGCACTTCTTCATGCCTGGCTTTGCGCCACTCACGTCGCGCTCGATGCAACAGTACTCGGCACTTTCGGTACCAGAGCTTACCCAACAGATGTTCGACGCCAAGAACATGATGGCAGCTTGCGATCCGCGCCATGGCCGCTACCTAACTGTCGCCGCGGTCTTCCGTGGTCGCATGTCCATGAAAGAAGTCGACGAGCAAATGCTCAGCGTTCAGAACAAAAACAGCTCGTACTTCGTCGAATGGATCCCGAACAACGTAAAGACCGCTGTATGCGATATCCCACCTAAAGGACTGAAAATGTCGTCGACTTTCATCGGCAATACGACAGCTATTCAAGAGCTTTTCAAGCGTATTTCTGAGCAGTTCAGTGCCATGTTCAGAAGGAAAGCTTTCTTGCATTGGTACACGGGTGAAGGCATGGACGAAATGGAATTCACGGAGGCGGAATCCAATATGAACGATTTGGTTTCTGAATATCAACAATACCAAGAGGCTACTACCGAGGAGGATTTTGAAACGGAGGATGCTGGAGACGATTTCGAAACGTGCGAGCAAGAGTAAACAACTATACAACTTTATAGCTTTAATGTTTATCAATTAAGAGTTAAACCTTTTTTTTACCGACTTTATTATCGATTTTTCTACAAATTTTATAATTTATCGAAAAGTTTTTAAGATGGAACATTTAAAACTTGAAACGTTAATATGTAAAAGACAATAACTACTGTAAGCGTATTGTTTTTAAAGAATTTCGGTTGGAAGTATCTAATTATTTAAAAACAAGAGTTTTTCACGAAATTTCGTGCATTCTTTTTAAATTTAAGACACGTCATTTAAAAATATTGTATCGGTACTTACATAATCGCTGATTATATAAAATTATTTTTATGCGAATCTCGGAATAGAGATTTACGTGGATATACTTTTAAAAATTACTTCATACGATTACCTACACATTTTGATTTACGTATAATTAATTGTAGTTTCAATCAACATGAATATTACATATCATTCATTCTAAAAGAAAATATAACAAATCGTTAAATTTCAATATGCAATTATTGAGTAATTATTCATTTAATGATATCAAATTGCTATAAAAAATTAGTTAAGTGTAAGCACGTTTTAAAGCTGCTTGGTTTTATGCTAGGATTATAAAAATATAAAAAATAAAAAAAATTTTGCATTTTAGTAGACCATTAAGCTTTTAGGATACGGTACTCGAATAATACATTTTTCTAATAAAGTTTGAAAATCAGCGTTTCCCTATACACAAAATGAAATATTTTTCAAAAAGTATCACAAGTCCATTGATAATTTAGCCAATAATTCAAATTTTATAGTAGTACCAAAGTATATTGGCCAGAAAAGTTATTGTGAGATTATAAATTAATTAAATCACTCAATAAAATATTTGATTATAAAACTTAATATTCACGAGTGTATAGACTGATGATCGTGGCTAATTTGCCTTTGCTTTTTTATGAAATTCCATTTTGTCATTGCCAAAACAGTAATTGTTTACTTTTTAACAGTAATAAGCATTTACTTCTACATGTTTTATTACACAATAAAGTATATTAGTACTCTGATTTATTATTAAAAACACTATATGTAAGAAAAAGTTCAAGAAATTTGAATGATATAATAAAATTTATTAAAATAGATATCTTTAGTATTTTTTATGACTTTTTTTTTTAATGTGTAAATTGATCTTTAAAAGAAATTCTGGGGAGTGTATTGTTGAAAGTTTTGGGTTTGATCGCGTATATGTTGATAAAAAGTTGATCGACTGAATGAATTATGCAAATTTTTCAAAAAAACATTGACTGAGACGTTATTTTTCAAACAAATTCAAAACAATGAATTAAAATACTCTAAAAATTGTAATGCATACTGCTATTATACCACGATTTGGTATATGCTTAATTGAATGCTGGTGAACATAATGGATCTAGTGTTTCTCGGCTATTTTTCTGTAGAATAACGAATTACACAAAAAATACAGGAGAAAAAAGGATCAGCAGAAAGATATAATAACAAATATATAACAGGGCAGCAGTTAGTATTTATACAACTTATTATAATGTCATATATTTTTACAATACATATATAATAATATACATAGTTCAATTATACATATATTATCCGACACACATTTTTTACAACTGACGGAAGGTTACGCTCAATCATGTTTCCGTATCACTTGTTTGCATAAAATTACATCATTTAAAGAAAATTGAAGTTTTCAAAAATAGTATTTCTTTAATATCCGTCGATAATCATTGTCAATTAAAAAAAAATATTATATCATAGAAAATAGTACGTGATTTAACAAGAGAGTAAATTCAATTTTTTCCGAACATTTTATTCGCAGAAAATATTAATTTTACTCTCGAGTTACAAAATAGATTTGCAAGGCTTATACTTAATATTGGTCACTTTGTTCATTAAATAGGTGGGATTTATTCAGTGGATTAGTTTAATTGTATCAAAATATACATATATTATCATTATTGTGGAAAATGAACGCTAATCGACTAAACATAAAACAACTAAAATAATTCAAATAAATCGTCGTAAAAGTAACTATTTCGAGTAATTGCTATTATTTAATTTTAATATTCAGATCAATATAGTGAACTATAGTCCTGAATAATATTTTGAAGCACTTATATTTTCCGGCTCGTGAAATTTAATTCAATTTTTGATTTGTTATTGTTTTCTAAAATTTAATCCATTGGACAGTTCTACTTTGACAGGCATACCAGCAAAACGGCGAAATATACAAATAGCTAATTACATTGCTTTACACATAATAAATATAAATCTCACATTCATTATAATACAGGGAAGTTTATTAATGATTGTTTTTAATAATTGAAAGATGTTTTGAAAGTGAACGGAAGTAAGTATATCCTTTAAATAGTTAGTGAATTATAAAACTTAATAGAGTTTTAAAATAAAAAAAACTAATTGTGGATAATTAATTACTTAAGTAAAAATAATTATAAGCTAGTGTTTACATAGTTTTATGACTTTCTTTCCGCCATACACGTAATAAATACATTATCTCAACAACATTATTTATTTATTTGAACTTTATCTAATGTTCAACACTAACTTTAAACTTTGTTAGCGATTTAACAGTTCACGTCATCATTAAAATATGTATTTATGTATATTATCTATAACTTTGTTAAAATTAATAATTTTTTTAACAAAATACTGTCACGTAGTTTGATAAAAAAATATGTTATTTTATCGTTTCCGAGAAGGTTCTATATGGTCATACTTTTTAATTCGTTTTTTGTCTTTTAATTCGCTCTTTTTATGGAGACAAATGATCATGGGTATCTGTACATAAGTTTAACCATCACCTATTTAGCTACCTAATGTACTGAACACGTATTTATACACAAATAATTGCATACATATTGATCTCTTGCGAACATCTATACGCAGTCATTCTATCACCAGACAAAACAAAATTAATAATATAACAGACTTTTGCAACTGAACGAATTGTCAACAATCTATGTAGAAAAAAAAAACTGATCCATCAACAATTCAGCCGTACAACACTTTCGTCGATCGGTAAACATAAAAGTCTTTCGAATGTCTACATTGCAGCAGTTTCACTTTTCAGCACGAAGCTCGAAGAGAGTCGCGCGAACCGGGCCCTCAACAAGAACAGCTCGACGACACTCGATTTTCGGCGTCGTGAGATTTAAGTGCTCGTCCTCGCTGCTCGAACTTCGAGATAAGCAGGTCTGGAGTTGGAGCGACCGTTGACTGCCGCTATTACTGCTGGATTGATTTTCCACAGCTTCTCCGGACCTCGTGCCCGATGCTCTGTCTGTACCACCGTTCAAAAGCTTCAGCGGGATGCGTTCTGAACCGCCCCGCTTCTTTGCCCTGTCAAGCAATGCACATGTTGATTGTCAGTAGTACGATAATCGAATTCGAGGCTTTCAGAATGGCTTACTTGGTGGGCAAGGTCGGACATGACCACAGTTTGAAATCAGCGCCAAACTGTTCGCCCTCTTCTATCGTCTGTGGCAGGTGTATGTTGAGAGTTTCAGGTAAAAAAATTGACGTGACGGCTCCAGCAACACTCAAGGAGCCCATCACTATGAGAGGTAATACCCTCCAGTATACCGCTAAGTGGACGATGTAGGGAAAGGTAAGCAAGCCAATGCCAGCAATGAAAGAGGCGATTCCCATCGCCTGGGACCTTAGCACCGTTGGCAATAGCTCGCCTACGAAAACGTAGAAGACGGCAAAAGATGCAGCTATACCGAACTTGCCGACCATCGCAAGTGACACGGTCACCCATACAGCATCTGATTTGCCAAACGTTGACAAATTAGAAAATTCGAAGATTCGGGTACTAATTTGCAGGTGACAAGACCAACCTTCGGGGACGAACATGCAGGACACACAAGCTACTCCACCGAGAAGCATAGTCATACACAAAACCCATCTCCTTCCTATTCGGTCCATGGCGTACCACGTAATCACGTACGATGGGATTTCGACTACTCCACCTGTTAGAATAATGAGCAAGGTGTTGTAGATTAGTTTTTGTAATGAGGTTCTGTAACAGACTTTTGACTATTTTAGGTAACAGATACTTCATTTTATAACAGATCGATTCGCGCAGTATATAACTTTGAAAGAAAGTTTGAAAAAAATGAAATAAAATAAAACAACGGTTAGCTTCATTGTGCTGGATTATCATGTCTCGTTACTTAAATAATCAGTATTTTACTGCAAGAACTTCTGTAACTAGTTTGACCTGGTAGTAAAGTCATTGACTTTACTACTTACAACTCAATGATTATTAATCTGTATTTTTCACAATTTTCATATCGGTAACACCAAAGATTCCAGAAGTTTTATAAAGCTGACACGGTCTTACAAATATTCCTATTGCAAGATGACCATTTTCAGACACTAACGAATCCTAGATAAGTACTTATTTTTTCGAACTTTACTGCTAAAATTGCTACTATTAATTCTCCCTTTCTTAATGGAAATTTACCAAGTCGACATGTACTGTATTCTTTCAATACTTTTTGCTTGATTACCTTTACCTGATATAAATTTTTTTCTACTCAACTCTATTACCGAAGAAAAATATTTCTCGATATTCCAGATATCAGATCATATGATCTGCAATACAATGACGGCTAGGCCATAAATAAGATAACAAAGTTGTTTTATTAGCATACAAATTGTTCGTCACATCCAAGCGTGCAATCTATCGCATTAATCGCTTTATTGTCAGTCGCATAAGCGTCGCATTTTTCAAATCCACTACTAAAATATCAATTTAAAATTCTTCGACTTCAATAAGCTACTTCATCGGAATTATGTAAGTAATAGAAGTTTTTAAGACATCATTTCGGTAATAAAAAATTTTGCTGCCTATTGTACTATCGCAATAAAGCTCCATCGTACGAAATGGTCTTTAAATTAGCACTGAAGTTCCATCACGCAAAAATAGCTACTACTGTAATACTGCGAACGAGACCAGCATCTCGCTTCAAAATTTAATAATTATTTCGTGTTAATTCTTTGCAACGCATTTATCTTTTAATGTTTTACAATTCCAGGACAATATAGAGTTTTAATGCGAAACGACATGAAAAAACTTACCGATAAAGAAAGCGAGGTAATCCGAAACGCCGAGATTAGTTGTGTTGTAAGACAGTCCATTATAAACTACCGCATTGGCAACCCAATCGAAGGCAAGAATAAAAAATTTTTTTCGAATATTAGGATTCTTTAAAATGTCCATCGGCGTTGCCGAAAGAGCTCCTTGCACCCTGTTCTCCGCTTCGAGATCGCCGTTAGTCACTTCGCCGGAATTCGTGCCGTTGCACGCCACTCCTTGTCTTCGCATTATCTCAAGCTAAAGTTAACGAAAAATGTCGTTGAGCGAATCGCATAAATTGAGTAAGTATAAAAATATGGTTGCATTTCACCTCCATTGTTCGAAGAAAGTTTGGTGGCACGGCTTTACCATTGACCCTTGCCATTGTTTGTACTATCACTTCCGCTTCGTCTATCCTGTTTTTACTAAGTAGCCATCTCGGAGATTCCGGAATAATCCAATAATAACTAAATAGTAAGACGAATGGCACGGAAATGGCAAGTGAAAGGCTGTACCAATGCCTTAGCAGGTAACTCTAAATGCGAAGATTGATTGTATTGGAGCAATTGCTGATGATCGCGAACGACATGACATTGAAATTACTTACTAAAAGAGCTAATAACGACATGGCTGTGGCAAAAAAAATGCATATCACCATACCGGCAAACGTCCTATACCTTGGACCCATTAGTTCCAGGGCTGAAAGCGAACGCAGGAAGTTAGCATTCGAAAGAGAAGAGTGAGCTTTTAAGACGTGCAGCGCGAGCTCACCGAGAATGAAAGGTATCTGGTAAATGGCAGGAAAAAAAAGACCATTCACGGTCCTCAGAGCAGTGTAAACGACGTAATTCGGACTAAAACTTGTTGCTATCGAGAAAATAACCTCGAAAAAGATAATCGCTAAAAAAGACGTCCTTCTGCCCCATTTGTCGGCGATCCAACCGAATACCACATTGCCGAATAGGCTACCCACGAAGAAGAACGTTGTCGACGTCGAGGGCCACCAGCTGTTGTCGCATACGAGATCTAGCTATGTAAATACAAAATTCAATTACAATGACAGCACATTCTTTCATTGCTGTAGTCGTATGCTATTCATCTTCACTCCATTTTTACAATTTCAATTATATAGGATATTTTTACCATGATTATCTCGCTAAATGTATATTTTCAGATTTCGATGTATTCGAAAATAACGTGGAATGATTTTTCGTCTTCATTTTGCGAGTACTTTGAACCCATGGAAACAACCGGAACTTCATTACAAATGAAAATTTAATTATTTAAATGTCAAAATACTAGATAATCCTTGCCTGCAAGATGTAGTATCTTATTCTCATATAAATGACCAATTATGAACTTCAAAGATACAAAATTGATCATATTCGAATTTGTCAATCAATTACGGAGGTCATAGGTGATTAATCACAAACTATCAATGTCAGGAACAATGGCAACAAATGATGTAGTTACTTTTAGTTTTTCGACTCGTCAATGTCTCTTTACCTTCAATCTCGCGAAATGAAAACAAAATCATTAACTTCGTAATTTCCAGTCGAATGTCACTCTATGTTCAAATTGCATTCTACGTCTAAGTACGCGATTGAAAAATCAAATATGAGTAAAACACGGGGTCAAAGCCGTGAGCCTTCAGCGACAGCAGGCCGAAGTACAAATGCAAGCTCGAGCGCGCGTAAAGCTCGCTCGGCTTTGACGAACGTGCGAGCGAAAGAGCTGCGTCGGACGAATCGACGTGCAGTCCGTCTCATGGCGCGGCTCGCGCACGCGTGGCTCCCACAGAGAGGTGTACATCACCCTCGCTTGACAGCAGGAACGTGGCCCCTTTTGCCTGGCTTTTGCAACGTGCAGTCACTCTCTCTCTCTCTCTCTCTCTCTCTCTCTCTCTCTCTGCACAAGTATCGCAGCTTATATACTCCGCTTTGCGTGCCACTCGAGAAATTTTATATTGCACGCAGCTCTACGCGTCTGATCAAATTTTAAACTGATTATGCGGATAAACCGAGCTTTCTCTCATCTCTGTACTCTGCGCGGCGCTATCTACTTTGCTTTCGTCAATATTTCCTTTTTCACGAACAATCCGACGACGTAAAAATACCTTGATTCTATTTTTCAACGAATAATTATATATATTTATCAAGTAGACGCGCACAAATAGCGGATCCATAAACTTCCTATCTCATTTTTCACGATTATTGGTTTTCCTCGTTACGTACGTTAGCGGTGTTTACGTCAATCGCCAGTAAACATTGCAGTAACACGTGAGTTACGTTATAAACTTGCCGAAAGTAAATTTCTTATCGACATAACTTGAGCTTCGTTGACTTCTGTGCTTTATAAGAGTATTTAGACTCACGGTCAAAATTACATGAAAACTTTATTGTTTGAACAGTTTTGGGCAACGTATTTACATAGAGAATCAGATCACCGGAAGATGTAAGCTTGACGTTTTATTCGAGACTGTGTTATTGTACACCGACGTGTACAAAGACATTTACAGTAGGTGCTGGGATTTCTTACTTTTGATCTACCTTTATTTCAACGAAAGACAGTAAGCAGAGAATATTTCGCGTGAAAAAAATTACAAAATAAAAATAAAATAATGATGCTCTTCCATATTGGCTGTTTATCGTGTTACATTTGGTCTTCATTGAGAGGTCCAAGACCGATGCACAAACTCAAGCCGATTAACAGATAAAGTAGCGTTTAGAAATGCTTGTAGCGAAACAGCGGAACGAAAGCACTGACGCAAGTGCGTAACTGCGACAGCATCGCGCTTTGAATAGCGAATACTGCGACGAGACGTATAATGACGTGCGCTTGCAGAAAAATCATTTTGAAATCTCCGCGGAATAGCATCATTGAAAAAGAGCTGAGAGGAGGGAAACTAATTCGTATTATTTTATCAAATTACTCATTCGAGCCCATAGTAATATAACGAGTTCTCGCTATTCCTATTGCAACTTGTCGACTGAATCTATCGCAAGCGTGAAGAAGGAAATAAAGAAGAAGAGAAAGAGTAGGAGTAGAGAGAAGAGAGAGAGAGAGAGAGAGTGTGTGTGTGAGAGAGGCAGACAGACAAAGAGGCCAAGTGCAGTGTGTTATGTAGAATCCGTCAAATTCGTTAGGTATACGTGAAGCGCTAATACTTAAAGCGAATGGAAGATGCGCAAGCTGATTCCAGGCAATTAATCTTCGTTAAAGGGATGGGGCGTGAAAAGACTTGTGTTATCATGCTTTTTCTTAATCGATGCACTGATTCAGAAAAAAAGGAGACAGTGGAAGGGTATAATGCAGCAACAATGAATATATAAACTTGCGAGAGAAAGGTAACGAGAACGAGATGAAAGCTCTTCTTTTTCACGACGGATAGGCGCACATAATAGCCGAGCACGCGACTTTTAGCCTAATAGTCTGAGTGGGATATACTCGATATAAATACACAGGTCTATATAAGCGAGCGACCAGATAGCCAGCAGTAAAGTAGATAATGCTGCCGCAGCCGAGACCGCGTGCGCGCATATCAAATAATACACAGAAGCTGCTTCGAGCCGCGCGCAGCCGGAGCTTCGTCACGTTCGAAGCCGCGACGATCGTCGCTTCGCGTTTCGGGAAATAGCCATCCAGTTCAATTAACGAGGAGCGATTATTTTCTCGGAAGAAAATTATTTTTACGTCGCGTGCCGCCCGAACCGCGTAGTCGCCACGGCGATCAGCTCTCATTAGCCGAGTTGTGTGCTTTTGCAGCGAGGCTGCTGTCGGGTGACGCGACGACGAAATTTTTTTGCCGTTGCCGCAATACCATAGTCTCGCGAATGCTATTGCGCGATAAGGATCGCTAATTGCGACGTCGCGAGACTGCATAATTGCCGACTTAATGAATTCAGAAAAGCTCTGCATCTTATTGCCGAACCAGCAAAGGCAATTCGAAGCTTCTATCCGTTTGGAGCGATAATTTATGTACTTACAGATTGCTCGGTAGAATATATCGATGAAAGTGCGATAGATTATTCCGCGGCTGACCGAGTTCAATTTGCATATCGAGGAATCGCTGGCATGCGAAAAGAAAAAAACAAAACTGCAAAGTTTCCAATCGAGTTTGCACGCAGCTGAATGGAAGAAACGAAGCACACAGCGCGTAGTAGCTTTTCAGACAACACCGACAGTCCCGACGGCTAGGCAATGATTGATTAGCTCGTCGCGCAAGTTAAGCTTCTTTCGGCCGAGGATGTTGCGCATTTGCCACTGGCACGATAATTGATGTACACGGCGAGCGGGAAACTTGGCGCGCAAACTGTACGAGCTGCAACGTGTGTACGCGTTACGGGGTTGACCGGAATCGCTTCTTTAGTTCTGACCTAGATTCTCAGCCGAGCGATCGCTTGCACTCTTTTCTATTTTCTTTTACTTTTATTACTTCGTTATCTTTTCTTTTCTTTAGCGTTGGCTATTAAAGTGTTTTTACGCGTAAGTGGCAGTCGAAGCATGCGCCACGCGCGTAAATTGCCGATTGCCAATGCAAGCGCTAAGATAACAGAACGATAATGAGATAAGGCTATTTGAATGATGCGAAACGAGTGACGTCTCGCGCACCACGGTAGCCAGCGACTTCGCGATCGTTTTCGCTCGTTCGCAAGCGAAAGGGAAAAGCGCGCAACTGCCGGAGAAAGAAATCGGGATGAGCGCTTCGCTGGACTTCCGAGTGTCTTTGGGGCGGAGATCAGCGGCGCGCAGCGTTGCTTCCGTGTCCCCTTGAGGCCGAACCGCTGCGGCACGCTGCATCGAAGCCGACCCGCGCCGCTGCTTTACGTCACGCAGAAGCGAAACCAGAGCGCGCGTAAATACGCGCCGCTGGTGTCAGCTGGTGTCGCTGGAGCTGCGCTGGCTCGGCTCGCGTAACGAACCTCGCAGCAGCGACACGAGAGAAAGAGAGTGAGATCGCGCGCTGGAACAAGCGTTCTGCCGCGCGCGCGCGCGCGGAATAAACCATGGTAAAACACCCACGACGTACGCGTCCTTACCACTTTGCTCGCCTATACATACATATATATGTATATATGTATATATGTATATATGTATGTATGTATGTACGTATGGCAACGTCACACACGACCGGATGCGGGGGTAGGTAAATTGGTCAGCAATTGCGCTGACGCCACGATCCGCCAGTCACTCTCTACTCGACTATATCCACGTCTCTCTCTCTCTCTCTCTCTCTCTCTCTCGTACTTCTCCAAAGGATTGCTCGTAGTACACGCGCACCCACTCCACTGTACTCGCTTTGACAACCGTGCTCGGCGTCGCCTTGTGTTACCCTCTGCTTAACTATACCTGTCGATGACCATTTGTCTCAGACCATTGCTTCCCCGGAGGCTAAATCGAGATCGATTGTTTCTGTGTGTGGCTGTGCGCACTGTCCAAGATTAATCGCGTCATCGCTCCTCAATATCGACAGGAAGACATTAATTGACCAAGCGTTCGAGGTATTGCTTCGCGCAATGTCATTTCGCGAGATCGCGAGAAGCCAATGCGTCCCAACGTAGAGGTAAACGAGAGCGCGGCTGCGCGCGGCCTCGCATGACCATCCGAAGGCACGGCGCGAACGCAATGTGTCACCGCGAGCCCGCACAGGTGAGATAATTGCCTAGGTGAGCTCTGCGCGGGACGAATCTTCGAGCGGTGTCCGGTTGCCGTGCCCCATGACGTCCGCGAGCGAGTGCGCGTCGAGAGGCGTCGAAAGCTTGCGGTGGGTCGTCACTTCCTCCTCTGTGCGCATTGACGTCCACGGAAGCGGCCACCCAGTCGCGCGAGCGCGCGCGCAACTTTCATTCCTTATTCCCTCATTACGTACTTCGTGTCGCCCCACGCGCGCGCACCGCGCGGCCTCGACCATTATCTTTTCGCGTAACGATCGACGCTGCTTGCTTAATATTCAAACGCCGAGCTGCAGCTTCACGACGGTTTGCCGTAACAACTCGAGCTTCGAGACTCGCTTTCTCCGAGCCGGCGAACTTACGCGAGAGTAAGAGCGAAGGATGCCAAGGTCTGCGCTCTCTGCAAGCTCCCGCCGCGACGAGTGCGCGTGGATAAACCGGAGCCAAGGGCCAAGGCGCGACCGTCAGCCTGAAATCCAACGCTCGACGCGCGCTCCTTCCTCGCCCGGCGAGGCGAGCGTCGTCGCGGGTAACGTTGAAACGCGCGCGCTAAACGAACGCTCGAACGAACGACCCAATGGCGTTAGCTCAGCATTCGGATCCGGAAGTCAGCTCGGTCCGATCCTCGTCGCGAGTAGTCTTTACTCGGCGCTGCTTTCCGATTACAATCGGCAAATTGCCTCGGACGGGATCGTAAATAACGTTTATCGATCATCGCGAACTAATTGACTTTTTATTGCCCCGTTGCATGCGTTCGAAATTTAGTAGTCGTTTTTCAAGAAGGCAACAGCGACGCTCCAAACGCGCCCGACGCTACGTCGTTTCGGCGTGTTCGTCATTCCTTTTTAACACACACGCCCAATTGAGCGTTTTCTCCCGCTTCGCAGATTCGATCCAAGGTTGAACTTGAGAAACGAGTGAATTTTTTCCCCGATTGTAATAGCAATCAGCAAGCTGAAAGATTTACGACGTCAGGTATTTTCTTTCTCGCGCGGACGAGAACGCATCGGTGTTTGCACTTGCATAATGTCATAATTCCTCGTGTGCCCGCGAGCCGATTGATTTTAATACTCGCTTCAATAGGCCTGCATCCTCGATACAGCGTACACTCTGGCGATTCTCTTGCGTTGATAGTCCGACGGAGAGAGAGAGAGAGAGAGAGAGAGAGAGAGAGAGAGAGAGAGAGAGAGAGAGAGAGAGAGAGATTTACACGTCGAGAATGCCGAGGATTGATATGAAAATTATCGTGATCTGGACGATTGCGTGGCCAACGCGTTTACGTAAAAAACTTAACAAAGTAGAGAAGAAAATATTGCTGCTGATATCGAATGCGAATAATGGTTTTTGAATGCCTAGTACTTATGAAAAATTTATTCAACAGTCAGAAGTTGAAGAGTGCTACTACTATCTATAGCAGTACATCTTTACAACAATAATGTTTTAATTATAACTGACAGAGGTAGATACTATTCAATGTCGATGCCATATATTCACTGCGTTTGTCAGGAAAAATAAATATATATATTTTTTGTGTGTCGATCATTCGTTTGATTTGCGGATCGAAAAAAGAAGGTCAAGCAGCGAATTGAATACCGTTGAAAGGGCATGAAGGGCACGTATTTGAAGGATATATAAAAAGCGACTACGGTGAAAGCTCTGTTATATCCAAATAGACATTGAAGCGAGTACTTGGATACTTTCGGAATGCATCGCCCGTTGTGCGTTCCCTTTTCGATCGACAAAGCGCTAATTAAAAATTCGGTTGAAAATCGTAACAACGCACTCCGTTTGATCTTCTATGTATATGCGTACGTTCAATCGCAATCGACAGCAGATGCGAGCGTAAAAAAGAAACGGTTGGAGCCAACATTTAGGAATAAGAGAAAGCTAATGGCGAGCGGAAAGCTGCTCTTGTCGAGTTTACCTCGGTGACAAGGGTGCTGTCGTAGTCTCTGTTGTCGTAGTTCCAACCCCATTTGCACTGAACGATAGGCCAACTGGAATCGCTGACCGGCGGCGGTGGCAGTCTCCTTGGGAATCGCAGCAAAGACGTGGGATTGGCCGTCGAGCCGTAAGACTCGTCGACGAAATCCAAGGGCACATCATCCCTGGCGATGTCCTCGTAGTGTCCGCCCGTGTCGGCGAAATCAGCTATACCAGGACTACTGCCGCTCGTGCCGTTATCGTAGTAACCCGCCCTCAGCCAATTCTCTATTATCGCCGTGTAATTCACGTCGTACATCAGGCACTTGGAGTACTCGCGTTTGCCGTCCGACTTGTTGCGGTACGGCAGAGATAGTGCCTTGCGATCCTCCAGACCCAGAATTCCCGTCAGATTGTCCAATTCGGGGATCCTGCACCAGTGCTCCGGTGACGCGCTCACGAACACCTGCAAGAGGTCGAAAAACCAGACCGTTTTGTCCGTTGTTCCGTCGTGACGCTAGCGTCGGCATTTACGTCGGGGAATTGCTTTGTCGCACCGGTTCTAGACGCGCTTCGAACGCCTTTCAAGCCCCGATATCCTGCCCCTTGCGTTCGGTCGCGAGACGGCTTTCTATTCGTTGTCATCGCATTTTTGCGCTGAGAAAAATGGCAAAGAATAAAGCGATATTGCGCGTCTGCCCGAAATCGCAACTTTCTACTTGCTCGGCCGATCGATCTCGCTTTTTCGTTCGCGAAAGTGCATTCAAATGCACACCCACTCGACTCCTCGGAAACTCCAACCAATAAAGCGGAATATTCAAAGCTTTCTTCGGCAATGTACACAAAGCACTTGGCGCGCCAATTGAGGTCCTGCGAATTATTGATTTGCGCGCGGCGCGGCCTTCAAAAGGTTCCTCGAGGGCTTATTCAACAAGTTTGATGCTTTGCTCGTGCCGCTTTCGAGCGCGTCCCATCAAAATTGTTTGTTTCTTCCAATTCATCGCGCGCAATATCGTGCAAATATTGGCTTCGCAGAGCCTCGTTTTCGACGAAATCCCGAATTGGCGATAAAATTGGCAAACAAAGCGAAGAGTCGTCGTAGTAAGCAAAATCTTCCGCCGCAAATCATAACGTTGCTGGAGCGAAATGGAAACGCGAGAAGAACAGATAGGAAAGATACCTGAGAGAAGGCGAGAAAGGCGGCGGGTAAGGTAGCCGGAATGCAAAGCAGATAATACATGATGTTCTGATATCTGCCCTTCTCGCCAACGTGCACCAGCACCTCGTCGAAGTCGATGGAGCTCATGGCCGTTGTTCTTGTTGCTTGTTATTTGTTGTTGTTGTTGTTGTTGTTGTTAGCCTGAGATGTCGAGGCGGCAGCGACGACGACGACGACGACGACGACAGCTATCGGCTCGCCTTGCTGGCTCCGATTCACAGCGCCGCATCTCCCGCGTGCGTCATTCCACCGAAACCCTTCGGACTAAGACTTGTCAACTCGTATTGCCACTGCTTATCACCCTTGACGGCCGACTCTCCACTCGCACTTGTTACTTGTCGCGCAAGCTTATCGCTCACCGTGTCGCGCACTCGCGAGACGCAGCGCGCGAGTCGCTCGAACGAGGAGCGCACTCGCGAAGTGAATATCAAGCCGCCTTCCTCCTTACGGATTCGCCGCTGCGCCTGGTGCGCGTTCGGTGGCGCGCGTCGCACGAGTCACGAGCGACGCTCGACTTTCGGTTCCCCGCGGCTGAGCCAGCTGCGCCCGAGCATACGTCCTTCGGTATACCTGTTGGGCACAAGCGATCAATTGTTTTTAACTCGTCGGCAAGATGCGCGCAAAGACCCGACAGTGTCGCGCTCATCCGTTTGCATCGACTGCGCCGCGCGACTCTACGTACAACTCGAGCGGAATAATCTGCGCTCGGTGCGCGTCGTCAATTACGGCCTCCAAGCGAGAGCATTCGGAGACCGAGACAAGTCACTCGGCGGAGTGCCGCGATGCGCTCGAAGCCTCCATGGAAATATTTTGACACTCGCGACCGTAAAGATCATTGTTTACGGTGATTCTTTCACCTGGCCAGAGTGAGACACGTCATTTTTCACTCGTTATTTATTGCTTCTCCACGCTTGTTACTCGGAAACTCCGGCGCTTCTAAGAATACACCCATCTCCGCGGGCATTCGTCAGATATTCTAATTGCGGCAATGGGAGCTAATAACGCTCGCGTAAAAATTCATCTCGGCGTGGAGAGAGAGAGAGAGAGAGAGAGAGAGAGAGAGAGAGAGAGAGAGAGAAATTGGTGATGTAAGCGGATAGCTCGCGTGCGCCGGAGCACGAGCGAGCGCCGCGAAGCCAAGTGGAAGCGTTGCCGCCAGCGGCAGCGAACGTGACGCGTACCTGGCGGTCGAGTGCTCGAGGCGTTTGCGAATTGACTTTAATCAGACGTCGGCCGAAAAAACGAGTGGCCCGCTGGCCTCTGTCATCGTTCTTCACTCTCGCACTCCCCCGGCCGCCCGTCGCCCGCTCGTCGCCCGCTCGTCGCCCGCTCCTTTTTCTTTCAGTTCGCCACGCTCGCAGCTTCCGCTCCCGCTGCCTCTCTGCGAACAACAAGAAACGTCGTGACTACGTTCTTTTTTCTCGTCGCTACTCCTCGCGAAGCCAGTCTCTCTTCTTTCCGACGTGCGCGCGTCTCGTCTCTATCCGCGTCTGACGCTTTTCGCGCCTCTCCCGTGCCTTATCGGCGCTCCACGATTCCAAGCCGAAAGCGAGCTCGCGTCGCGAGATTATGCACGCAGCGGACCTGGAAAACGTCCGACGCAGGTCTCTTGCCGCGCGCCACGCGGATCGCAGCGACTCAAGCTCCAATTAGTTCGCTTTTGGTATGCAGATGGAATTTCTACGATCGACATCGCGCGCCTCGATCAAACATTTTTCAAGCACGTCATCCTATTACGTTTGCTCGCTCGATCGTTCGGAAGACAATGTTTTCGCGCGCAAACAGAATTGGTGTACGGCTTTAACGGAATTTCCGATATTCGTGTGACCATACTGTCACAAGTCTGTAATGAGAGAATCGCAGAATGTAAGTGATGCGAAACTGAAAAGCCACTTGAAATTGGCTTTCGAGCAAAGCGTCAAAGCGAAATCACGTTGAAACACGGAAATATTTTTAACAATGGAAATCAAAGTTTATTTTCTATTTTTATTTTGTCATGCTAAAGCTGATTTCACGGAAAAGCTTTTATTGGCACGGGGGCATCTGTCATGAGCACAACAAATGTATCGTCTATCTCATACGAAGCATCCACGTGGAAATTTCGAGGAGAAATCCAATATTACGCGCTGTGACGCCAAGATTTCACTGATTCGAACATAAAAGTGAACAATTTAGTGTATTTGCGTGAACGCCAGCAACATAAGAAATTAATGAGATGAAAACTCGGAAGCCGAGTGCCATTCAATTAACTTGTTTCCATTTATTTTCAAAAATAAGGAGATTACAAATATGATGTTGAATTCTATTCCGACCGCAGATCATTATTTAGTTAAATATTTCAACGACACTTAAACAATTGTCTTCGTTAAATTTTCAACAAATTTCTCATTGACTGTCAGATGAAGCTATTATTCGCGCAACCTAATCCGATGGCTATGGAATAACGTCTAATCCCCATCGCATAACGTATCAATGGTAATCTCGTATACGATGCTGAAAGAACACGAGGTAACACCATTGATTTATCGAGGTATAGTTCGCAAACCTTAGTCAATGAGATTGCAGCACTTGGCACTTGAAAACGAATGAAATAAAGAAAGAGCGTTAGTCGTGTGTGCAGCGCGAGAATTCTCAAGTTACTCGAAGGCCTGGCCGGGGAAAAGGAGATAAAAGACCTTAGACGAGTTACAGGCCAGTCCACGAAAGCCGTTCGAGCTGCAAAGCCTCGGAGAGTCGAGGGGCGCACCTGCGTAAGTATACTGAAAAGGATATCGGATGCGCTGTTTCGCCCGGGATACGGGCACGAGGTGGCACGCGACGAGCGCTCGGCCGGAATCGGGACGGACTACTAGCGGGAAAGCGTGGCGCAAGCGCAGTTTTTCAGGCGCGCGCGCTCTCCTCGCGCATGCAAATCGCGAGCACGTGCGTGACGCACTCGCTCGCTGGACTCTCCGCGCGCCTTTGCGAGAGTAAGCCCCGCGGGACGCACGTGCGCTGCGTGTGTATACGTGCAATCGCGCCGTGCCATTGATTGGAAAGCGCGCTCGCCGCGCGTCGCAACGCCCGCGGCTGCGGCCGTTGTTCTTTGCCGCGATCGACGCCGACGTCAATTCGGTAAAGCGATCGACGCTCGCTTATCGCTAATTGATTTTCCCTTCGGATCGTCGAGCGCCGAGTCTGCGGCTTTAATCGATCGTTAATGAACCGCGATAAAATCCGACGAATCATACCGACCATTTTGATTTTCGACTTGTTCGCCAATTCATAATTATTTAAATGTATTTTAATGAAGACATTTATTAGTTTTGACGAGTCTTGCGCAGTTGCGAAAAGACGCGCACGTCAGCAGCTAGTACACAACTTATTCGCGCGTAACTTCAACGTGTTATTAGAATTTCAAAATCAAAGTCACATTGGCAGCGAGTCAAATCAATTTTTCAATATCTCGGGAATAAGACGTGTTTTTTCAAAGCCGACAATCTCAAGCTGATTAATCCGACGTCTTGCTCGTACGATTTAACGCCACTGCATTGGAGAACTAAGTACCTCCAAGTGGCAAATAAACATACTTAGTGCGTGTTCGTGACAGATGGCATTTCAATGTAGCACGTCGATAAACAAGTCAAACGCTAAAGGACTCGATTAAATGCATGCTGCTTCGGTACACAATGAAAACATAAAAAGTAATACTTATGCGCGTGGCTGTCAATTGGTCAGCTCTCCCGTTACGCGAACGATAACGATAATTATCCGAGGAAGGTGCGACGGTAGCTTTAGGTGCGTATACGATCGCAGACTGCGAGATCAGAGGGAGCCGAAAAGTCTCAGTCGCGGACCGCGCGGTGCAGCGGCTAATCGACGCGATCGTTTCTCGTGCATGTAAGCGCGCGCGGGTGCGCACTCCCGACTGCGACCGCCGGGGTGCGTGGTCCATATCGCGCGCGCGTCGGCCGCGTCGACGCGCGCCAAAAGTAAATCGCGAATTCTCCGCGGAAAAGAGAAAGAAGAGGGACGAGCGGAATCGGCGGATTATTGCGCCGGCGCTTACGACCGATCGGCCGTTTAAAAGCCCTCGCGACGGCGAATGGCGCTGAGCTTTCATCGCGATGAAGATGCATCGATAAATGAGCTTTTAATACCCGGCGCCGCTGAATCGCGGCCTTTTTCGTTTCGCTTTTAATCCGGATTCCAAGTGCACGCGATCCATTTTTTTTTTGCGAGGCGAGGCCGTGATTAGCAAATTTTCGTCGACGCCCGAGAGTTCGACTCGACGGATTGTGCGCTCTTAAAGATGCGCTCGGTTATTAAAGAGAACACAAACAAGCAAACAAACGAGGCTACCGGCAATTTGTATTGCGATTGTCGTGCGACATAATTACCTTTCAATCAGAAGCATGCGATCATTTCAGCGATAAGGCCTGCAAACGTCATGGTGAATCAATGACATGAATTCGCTATTGAATGGGACTGCTGGAAAGCAATCGTAGACGCGCGATCGGATGGCGTAAAAATGCCTGACACACGCCAATAAGCAGATCGATTAGAGTGGCTTATTTATACATCCAAGGGAATGAAAACGAGCGGCAGTCACTGTGAGCGGCACAACTTTACTATTTTATTGTCGCACTCGATTACATCCGCGCGAGCGCGCAGTCATGTCACCTGGTCGACACTCGGAACGATATATACTTTTCATTGAGAATATCCGTTGCGCGGCAGAGCAGCGACTCGAGTCGGTCAGTTGCGAAGATGCGCAGCGTATTGTTTGTTAAAGAGAGCGAGAGAGAGAGAGAGAGAGAGAGCCGGGAGCGCGCGCGGGCCGCGCGAACTCGCAACTGGCAGGTTTAACAACAACGTATGGAGACGCTGGCATAGAGCTTTAGAGAGGCAGGCGCGTGCGCTCTATCTCTCTCTCTCTCTCTCTCCCTCCCTCTCTCTCTCTCTTGCTCTCCGTCTCGCGTGCAAAAGCATGCTTGCTTCGCTTTAGCTCTCCCGTTTCGTTGTGGGCTCGTTACAATTACGACCACGTCGCTCGTAGAGCAAACAATGTCTTGTGTACCGCGCATAATCGTCGACCATTCCGGAGCTTGCGCGAGGTGTGTATCTCTCTCTACATCTTCTTCGATGTAACACTCTCGCATAATGTCTTTCCAGGCACAAAGTCTTTCCTTGCGATTAATCCAAGATTCGCGCCATGTTTTGGCATCGCAATGTCAGCTTGAGCATCGCTAATGAACTGGACAATCCAAACAGCTTGTTTATTTCCATTGGGATATTTCGATCTAAAGACGTGAGAATATGTAATGACGCGCCGATTGGCCTATCGAGCTTTTCAAGAATGCGTCCCCATCTTTATTCGGCAGCTTACGTTTTTTTTACGATTTACTTTTAACTCGACTTTCCGAATGTTGCTGTTAAAAGAATAATTCAATTAAACTCAATTCTATTGAGAACGTAATTGTCAATCGAATTGAGAAAATAGTATTTTGACTTTTTTTTATAGTACGTATACTTCATGTTTAAATCATGAGTAGATTTATCAATTGATATTAATACGAGTTGATTTCCACGCTAAAAGCATTATTTTAACTGTAGAAGCCTATTGCTTGTGGTAACTTTCAAACAAATCTAGTTTCATAATACTGCTCGTGCTGCACAATGACACTGTCGCCAAACTTTCATTTAGCACTTTGGCGATTAATCCGAAACTTTCTCTTGACTTGACACAATCAGCAAATTAATGTGGCAAAAAAGCAGAGACTGTTAAAATATCTTGATTTACATCTTATCCGAACGAAATGAAGAGGAAGTTTATCATTAAGCGTTTAAGCTTCAACTTCAAATAGATTACACGTAAAGCACTCGAATGATAAACAACCCGAGAGGCGTGATGTCTGTTTATCGTTCTGGCGAACGAAGATCTCGAAAAAGCGCTGCAAGCCAAGGACTCGTGGACTAGAGCAACCGGACAAGACGGACCGGCGAAAATAGCGCGTGCACGGCATCGGCTAATTGTTCGAGAGCGCGCAATTGCAGGTTGGCGGTACGCGTGTGCGCGCCTCGAAAAAGAAAAAAAGCCCAATGAAAATAAGCTCGTATCTTCGATTAGGGAGCCCCTAAACTATATGCTTCGAGCACGAGGCAGGAAGTGTCGATCAAGCCGCGCGTCACACACGGTATCTCTCTCTCTCTCGCTCTCTCTCGCTCTCTCTCTCTCTCTCTCTCTCTCTCTCTCTCTCTCTCTCTCTCTCCGCTATCCATGCACATATGCGTGTCCGTCTTTTTCTCGCGCGTGCTGTGTGTTGCGACTACGTGTGCTTGCGCGATGAAGAAAAGTTCTGAAATCGCGACTGCGTCTTCTTGGGGACCACAGACCAAGCTTCCGGCGACTGCTCTATTAGGCCACGACCGACTAATTTGCCCTCTCTCTCTCTCTCTCTCTCTCTATCTCTATCTATAAGCCCCACCAGTACTACTACTGCTCTTCGCCGTCGTGTCGTACGTGTGTATAATGCGCTTATCCGTCTGCGTGAGCTGGTCGCGATCGTGATGCTATAGGGCCACTCGGAAGTTCGCTGGAAGTCGGCACAGACCTCTTCAGCAGAATCAATCGAATCACCATGCCAAGCTACATCCGCTCGTCCTTAGCTTCTCCAGGCTCGCACACATGTATTTGCCTCAATTTCGCGTATGGGCACCACTTTTTTTCCCCGCCCGTTCGGGTGTGCAGCGTCGAGTGATAATTCGTTTTCGCGGATTTCAAACGAGTGTATGCGCGCGCGCGCGTGTGTGTGTGTGTGTGAGTCGCGCGCGCGATCGCACCGATTTCGCCAAAAAGGCCTGATTGCCGTTGATTTGATGGAAAGAATGTCATTCGATTTGCCGTCACCGGTCGGCGCTTAATTGGACCTTGCCCGCTACTACGGCTGCTTTTTTTTTTTCTTTTTTATCATCGCCTCCCGTGGAATTTCGCCATTTGCATACGCTGCAGCTGAAATCCCGTTATTTTATTATATACACGTGCCCGCGACTGATTGCTTTATGGAGCGGTCGTTGCGCGATTGATTTGTCTATCCTCGTTGACTGGGCGAAGCTGTAGCTTTCTGCAACAGCCCTGGAGATTGTTGCGTGTGCGACATTTTGAAAAGCTATATATGTTAAGCCGGATAATTGTCGCGCGAATGAATCGTAGCAAAGTGTGAACATGAAACTCGAGGCGGGCGTATTATGAGTCAGGCAAAGGCGCAAACTCCACTTTCCGGATTACAAGTCATGCATATTTATGATGTTTTATACACTCTGGCATAATGCAATCAAGATTGAAAGTCACCGTACAACATACTTTGGATATAATTTATTAATGCATTCGCGGTTGTTCAACTCACGGATTCCGACGTATAATCGAGCGCGCGGTAACTTTGAAGGTGACTCGAACAATTACAAGGAGCTTTCGCAAGTGAGAGCTGGCTCTGTCGCGAGCGACGTTCGCACGGTAAAGCCTTCTCTGTCTTTCGTGCAGTACTTACCTTTCGGAAAGTTCGATCCGCCGCCTCACTTCGCCGACCTTCCCTCGCTGCCCGTTGCGCTCTTATACTCGCAGTTCGATTTTGCGTTCGTCCTCGCCTCGCACATCTTGAGATTCTCTCAAGAGCGCCTCGTATGTTCTTCGCTGCGAAATGATATCAGTCGTCGTGGCGTTCGCTCGTCGTCACTGTCATTCTCCCTCGCAGCCTTTACAGTCCCATCGCCGAAACAAGGAATAGCCGAAGGACACGCGTACAAGGACAAAATCACTGGCTGTTTACGAGAAACATTCTACACGGCGCGCAACTTGTCGAGCGAGCGCTACGATCGAAGACGAAACCGCTGCTGCGTTGCATTAAGGATTGCCGGCGACCGAGCGGGAGAGCGAGTCATAGGTGCGCACAAGCTGACGGATTAATTTTTCTCTTTTTTATATGTATATTTTCCTCGCAGGCACAGCGTCTCCCTGTCGGCTCCGTTCTTATCGTTCAAACGCGCCTCTTCCGACCGAAAGCTCGCGCTGCCAAAAAGTCATGTATATCCTAGCTGTGAGCGCGTGCGGCTAAGATAGTAGCAGCGTCCATCGCGGGCTGTGATACTGAATCACTGATAAACAGAATAAGAGAGAGAAAGAGAGTGTAAAGCTCTGGTGGAGGGGTAGCATATCCTATTCCGTCCTCGTAAGCTATCATTTTGAATTCCCCTTCCCTCTCTCTCTCTCTCTCTGTCACTCACCGATTGTGTCACTCTCTTGCTTATTCGCTCGCTCGCACTATACCTTGTCGTAGTGTATATCCCCCTTTCCTCGAGGCCCTCATCAGCGTCACAGTCACTCTCGACTATTAATATAAAAGAGGGTTCCTCGACACTGTGCACGGTAATTGTACTCTCTGGCCGTATAGTTCGTTCTCTTTCCATCTCCGCGCGCCGATTCATATACTATACACACACGCGCGCGAGCGTAGCCACTTTAGGGCCATACGAGCTTTTTTCCGAGTTCCAGGGGGTTGGCAAGCTTGCGCCTGAAAAGACGATACTGCTTGTACTCTTTCCTTTTACGAAAATCTTCTAATACGGTTTCGAGTGTCACATTATCCTAAGAGCTAAATGAAATGCACGTGCCAGCGAGAACGATGTTCGATAGAGCCTCATCACAGCAATACCCTACATCAATCGGATATTTCATACATTCCTACAATCATGCTCTTCGGATTTGCTTGAAACGTTAGAGCTTCATTTTACTGTTCAGATGATTAAAATTTAATGAGATTCCAATTCAATTATTCCTTTTTTTCGTAATCAATTACGTATAGACATAAAAATATTCCTTGAAATCTAATTAATTTTATAATTTTCATACTTTTTTCTCTTGTAATGAACCACTGTACTCACGTTATTGCGCAAGTAGAGTGTTATCGAAAAAGATAATAATAACTTTACGTAGAAATTCAGATGAGGTCTTTATACTACAGCGACAGCTTTTAAAGTGCTTGAAGTCAAGATTGATAAAGTTAGATTGGGTAAAGAAATATGAAGAGAGGATCACAAAGTTGCCAAGGTTGATACGTTATTTTGATCATAATAAACTGAAAGGTATTACAGTACGCGCGTCATTATTTTAAGAAATGTTCTTTTTTTATTATTTTCCGTTCTGAAGTTTTATTTGTTTTCAGATTATTCTGAAATTTATGTTAACCGAAGTAACACCCCCTCTCCCTCCTTCTCCCTCCGAAAGCATAAACAAGGAGTCTGCCATTCGAAATTCAAGAGGATTTAACTTTCGTTAGGGGCTTTCGTTATTTGTTTTCTTTACTATACGTAGGGAGTGGTTTGAGTTGTATTTTCTTTGTAAACTATATAGTTGTTGATTTATGCATGTACTAGATACGTTCGTTTTATCAATATATTCTGTGAATGAAATTTATTAGTGATTACAATATTAAATAAAATATAACTTAAACCTGATCTACTTATTGGGATAAACTCTTACATGCCATAATCAATGATTTCTTAATCTTATTAAATAAACATTTCAGTTTATATCAACTTATATAGTAATTAAAAGTATTTATTACTTTATTCATATTTGATTAGATCGATTTATTATATTCGATGTACGTACGATATGTTTGAAATTCCTATATTTCAATTTGCTTTTACCTTTTGAGGCAGATTGAAAAAACTTAGATTTGTGAAATTTGTCTAAATATTAAATAAATCACTTAATGTATAAGAGTATTCAAAAGATACCCAAAACAAAACTCTTTCCAGGTATTCCATTTTAGTTGGCCAGATACAGAAGCTCCTCCATGGTAATTTACAGCGTCGAAGCCGCCAGGCAAGAGTTTACACCCCAAGGAAGGGGACTGCACTTAAACCGTGATTAAAAAAAAATATTAATTAAAAGTACCTAAAAAATTAATACGATATATCGCATGATCTTATCCAATAGCTTCATCCTAATTATGAAGAGCACGTGACAATAAATATTGCTGAAACAAAATATCCGAGTCACGCATATCTCATTTTTGACAAATGTGAAATGTTTAGTATACGAATAGTATTCACTGCTTTTATAGAATAACATTTTACGTATTTAATAACGTATAAGCGTAAATAATATTATACTTTAGTTTTTTATCAATGATTATAGGAATTATAAAGTATTGAAATGACTTATAAAATTATTGTCTGTAATTTCACATGCGAAACATATCATTTATTTATAAGTGATTTAATGGATTATTTTAGAGAATAATTTCGTAAAACAATCAATTGTAGCTGATGAAAATTATGCAATCTATTCTGTAAGCATATTCCATATTTTATCGCGAATATATGAATAATCTCATTAAAAATTAACTTTTAAAATAATATCTACAAAATATTCGTTTATAATAATAGACTTTTATTTAAAATCTGGCAAAATATTCAAACGAAGTAGTTCTTTAATACAGGAAGGAATATTTTCAATTGAAACTATTTCATAATTATTCATTTACGTTAGAATCTTCAAAATTACTCCTAATTCATAATCCTAAGGCTATATGTTTAAGCCGTATACACTATAATCGTTCCATAATTATTAAAAATATTGATGCGTACATTATTTAGATATAACGTTTTCCTCCCGCAGTTCGTAGCTTTTCAACATCTTTCAATTTAAATTCATAAACAAGTCTGTGATGTAGGTTTTTCAAAAATACCAAGTTGTGCTGTAGTAATCATAAAACCAGTAAAATTAAGTAATTTAAACGCCGGTATAGTGCTAAGCTACTAAAATTGTAAGACAACTTGTCGATTCTCAAGCATGTACGATAATGTTAAGAAGCGTGTTCTTTATTATAAAAAAGCATACTTATTGTCAACACATTGACGCAAGGCTTATTTAGTTGACATAAATACGATTGATGGTCAAAAATGTTATATAGCACCTTTCGCGCCATCTAGCATTTAAGAATAATACTACTAGTGCAATCTGCGCCGAGATTGCCGAAAAGTCTTCTGCTAAACGAGATTCTGCTTATTTACTCGCCGTATGTAAAAATTGTACACAAATATAGTTATTGTGGTTGCAAATAACTTTCTCAACATGGCAACATTAAGAAATTTGACGCCGAAATTTTTTCTTAATCCCATTGAATCCCTAATCAAAGTCAGCACTACTCTCTCAGGTTTGAAATCTTCATTAAATAGATGTTAAAATAGGTTATTTTACTTGCAAAGATAGTTCAAATTTATTTTTTCGAATATATCAATAATATCTTGATATATTCGCATGATATAACATATATAATACATCTATGCAATTAAATTTAATATGTAAATCTGAAGTATAGCATTATTTTATAATTTCAGTACCTTGTCGTTATGCCTCTAAAAAAACGGCTGGCGCTGGAAATAAAAATGCTGGAAATGCTAGAGCCAAACATAGGGGCTGGAAGAGACAAGATGGTGCCATAGTAACAGCAGGAACTATCTTGGCTACTCAAAATAAAACGCGTTGGCATCCTGGTCTCAATGTAATTGAAATCTATTCATTTAATGTATGGAAAAGTTATCAACTATATCAAAATAAAAATAAATTCAATTACAGGTTGGATTTGGAAAAAATGGTACTTTGCATGCACTGGTTTCGGGTAAAGTAGTTGTAACATGTGAAAAAATTGATCCAAACTGGGATCATACATGGATTCAAAGAAATTATGGTGAGGAGAGGAAAAATCAAGTGATTTACAAAAAACATTGGAATGTCATTCCAGAACCTCAACATAGAACATTCAAATTATTGGATAAAATATAATGTGAGGCTTCTGGCAATGTTGTAAAATTTAATATATTTTCTAAGTTTAATAAATGTAATGTGTTTAGTCTTTGTACAATTGGTCTAAATATCTCCCATTGACGAATCTGCCCATCTGCTTGAAAAGTAATCAATATTTTTACCGTCTTCAGAAAGAGTAGCAAAAACTACAATCTTTCTTACATGACTGCCCATGCGACTGAATGCTACAAGCTCTGGTACAGATATTTCTTCATTTCTATTTTTACAATGAATTAATAGCTGAGAATGAAACATTATAGGATCACCTGAAAACAATTATAATATTGTATTGTAATCATTGAAGCCCGATAGTACTTTTCTTAAAAATATTTTTAGTTACCCGGATATGCTAAAAAATCACAGCCAAACTTTTGTCCAGTTGATACAAAGTAACCTTGATCCCAAAAATCCTTAAATACTCTATATCTAAAGGATTCTTCCTCAGAAGAAGGATAATTCCAATTTTCAACTTTGATTGCATCAGTATGCCATGGATAAGCTAAAAAGAAATTATGTTTTATCAATTAGTACTTAGTCAATTTTTATTTTTTAATTTAATTTTCATTAAATGTACAATACCCGTTGGTGTTTGTATTAATGCATCTTGTTTTTCTAACTTTGGTAACTTAGCTAATTCTTCTTCCAATAATGCATCTCTGTCAATTTCTATACTGTCTAATGATTTTCTTGTTTCACTGTCAAGTGGCTTTTTCAAATTCTTTTTTGTAATGTGCAAACCTAATATTTTTCTTCTTTTACCTTCAACAATATTATCCATTACAGAAATGATCTAAAATACAACAAAAAGATAGATATGTTCAATTTATTTTTCAATATATAATAAATAAAGCAAAGAAAGTAAGACTCACTTGAGTTCTTCGTTGATCGACTAAACATTGTTGCTGCTCTATAAATAATTTATTTCTATACTCTTCAAACTTCTGTTTCAATGACTCAGTTGGTGTTTCTCTTAACATAGGTTGTTGAATCATTCGCACTACACCTTTATCTAACAAGAGTTTGGCTTCTTCAGGATGCAAGAGCATTGGAAGCCCAAGAAGAATATCTTGTCTTGGTTTTTTTGCAATACAACCAATACAATCACCTAATATTTTATATTTCTGCCTTAACTTAAGCCAATCTATAATAAATTATTACAATGATTCAATTAAAAAATAAACAAAAGTTTAATCCTTAAATATATAAATATTAACCATCAGCACTCCAAATAAAAATTTCTGATCCAGAAAGTATTAAATCAATTTTCATATCATTATTCACGTCGTTTTTGGTGTCATCCATGACTATGATAAGAGCTCAAGGTATTTATTAAAATTACCTTACTATTGAAAATACCTTTATGAAGAATAACAAAACAATTGTGTTTTAAAAATTTGAAAAATCATATTATATTTATATTTTTCATAACCTTACCGTGATACAAATTTTCAGGTAAAATGAATAATCAATCAATATTAACAAGATTATTTTTATATCAAATAAACAAGCATGCCGGCGTTATAAAAACTAGTGAGTGTAGAGTTCTCCTTAATAAAAATAAGTCAAAATACAACAGCAATCTTTTCTCAAACAAAATACATCATATATAGTAAAGTCTGCCAGATGTCGCCACCATCTAGCTTTGTAAGTACGTTTTATTTCTCTCTCGGTTCAACGGTATATTCGTTTTCTGTCTCTTTTATGCTGGCCCACATCCTATACCATACTGTAATAAGTACGTCGCTAAGGATGAAATAAAAGCATAACATTAACAACGAGAACGTAGCAGTAGAGCTTTTTTAAGTTTTAGCATTAGATTTTTTTTACTTTCTCATTGCTGTCGTTCGATTTTTAGCATTATTGCGTATTGCTGCCGTTCAATTTTTAGCAATATTTTCTGACATTGAAGTTTTCTACCGAATTAAATTTCTTTTGAAGATTATAATAGCGTGAGACGGTATGTAGATATTTCTATATGTTGCACCTATTTCTAAATAAAAAGATACTGCACACATAAAAATTATATAGCTTTAAATGTTACTATTAATTAATTAGATATTATGACAAATAATATCTTGATTGCGAGCGTCGTAACTTTCTAAATAATTAAATATTTTGTGAAAAACGCATGTAAATAGAACATCTTGAGATTACTGAACCACTTAATGCTAATCTTATATATCAGGTATAATAAGGTAAGGTACTAGTGGTTCGAAGATGAAATGTCAAAATCAAAAATATTCAATGTTAATCGCGTTACTCTTTAAATAAAAACAGTTTGAAAATATTTTGTGACATTAAGATTATAATTCTTATAATAAAAATTCAGATCTCGGCATCAAATTATTTTAGCAGTCATAATTATAAAATATATTTTTCATAAGTAAGAAAGATATCTACGATCGCATCAATCGTCAAATGAAAGCAAATACTGAGCATCGTAGAATTGCAAATAATCGATCGAAGGGCTATCATCGTAGTCACGCAAATAGGCCTTCAATGCAGTTCTTCATAGCGATAGAATTTGCTGTGAAGTCGTTTTCAATCACAACCTATGGTAAAAGTCTTTCTTTCTTTGAATTTAAAGCTTATGCATTGAATAATCGATAATTTTTATAAATTATTATTTATTTGCAGAATATTTGTATTCATCATTAAGCTCTCAAATTGTGACTTTATAATGACTGTGATATGATTATTTAAGTCGCATATTTAAAAACTAAGAATCTTTGTAATTGTGTGGATATATAATTAATTGTGAAAATGGAAAGCCCTATTAGAAGAACTAAAGAGTCAAAGAAAAACAAATTTGTTCCAGATATGAATGTAAATTAATTTTTTCTTTTATATAAAAGAAACACTAAAGTCGAATCTAAACTTTCAAAAGTTTAATTGCGACGCACCAAATAACCTAATTATAACCTTCATCATTTGAAAATAATATTTTGCTTCATATAATTTTAAACGTTTTATAGAACATGGAACATGTTATTGCGCAATTAAAAGGAAAGTTGAAAGTGTTAACTTCTGAGATGAAAGATGCTGTAGAAAGAATGAATTCTATGACTGTGGAAATGAATACTATTAAAAATGAAAATTTAATAAACAAAGGTAAATTAATTATGAAAATGTCTAGTAAATACTTTTCTGGAAATTATTATTATTGAACACTAAAATATATTTAGATCGATTGACTGAGCTTGAACAGGAAAATGCTCTTCTTATTTCTCAAATAGAAGAAATGGCTAATGAACGAGCCGAAAGGGATATCATAATCGAGGAATTCGGCTCAGCGGTTGAAGGCAGATTAGTGGAATGGAAGGTTTGTTTTCTTTGTTTCTTTCAACATAAGTGAACAAGTTGGATTCTCCTTTAATACATACATTGTTTTATAGGAAATTTTAGACGAAAAGGACTCAGTGATTGCCAAACTCAAAGAAAATCTGTTGTCCGCAACTACTGATCGACTGAATAATGTCTCGACAGATGAAAAGAGTCACGTGGAGATCGATCGATTGATTCAAGACATCGACCGTCGTGACGAGATAATAGCCGAACTACAGGCTAAACTAGCAGAGGCAGTAATCGAAATCAATGAGAGTAGCCAGCTTATTGAGAAATTTAAGTCTGATGGCAAAACGTTAGTATAATTACTTCATATTTTGATTGTATGAATATGGATTGGAAAAACGATAAATGAAATATATGGTTTCTTTCAGAAAAAATACTTCGAAAAGAACTAGTAAAGATCAACAAGAGTTGAACAAAAAAATTCAAGATGCCACTAAGCGATTAAGTACTTTAGAAAGCCTATTAGAACGTGCCGAAAAAGATGCCAAAGTAAAAAGTCAGCAAGTAAGTAATATTTTCCCTCTACTGTAATCACAGTAAAATCACAACAAATATCAAACTCTTATTTATTTATTTTCAAGCTATGTGAAACCTTAGCAATATTAAATAAGTACGAAGATGAAAATACTAGTTTATCAGAAGCATTCGGCGAGATCAAAGCGTTGAAAGATCAGATGCATAAGAAAAATAAGCACATTGAGGATCTAGTTGATGTAGTAAATAGACTTGAGAACGAAAATTCTAGATTTGAAGAAGCCATAATTGTTTTACGGTAATTATTTCATGAAATCTATTTTTAGGTATACGTTCAATTACTAAACTCATATACGTTTAAAGAGAGAAATTAGGACTGACTGAGGAAGATTCGTCTTGCATAGACGATTTAATTCTCCAACGTCAACAAGCACAAGAAGATAAAGTCACGGAAATGCAGAGAAATTACGATCAACTGTCAAGCGAAAATGTAGACTTGAAATTTCAAATAAGACAGCTAAAAACTGCCCTGAGAGAATCGTTAAAGCACAAACTGAGTAAAACTAACGGCATATCAAGCGATGGTGAACACATTGAGGAACTGAGCCACAGATCTGAATCCAAGAAGGAACACGTGGAATTACGTCGCATTAAAGAAAATGTCAAGTGGATCATCGAAGAAAATGAAGCGCTGCGACAAGGAATGCACGAAATTCTGGATTCTATTCATAATCAAGATGGTACTGGATTCATTTGCGAACGATCGATGTCGAGTAATTGTAATATTGATCGAAAAAATTGTCGTAATTTTAGGAAGGAGTATGATTAGTATTCAATCGAAAACGTTAGAAAACTTACTCGAAGCTTTAGACGCAAGGCACGTGGCTGGTTGGTATCAGCCGGCTATGCGCTTACAAGGACGAGTGAACTATTTGCAGGGAAGTAACGCGGAGTTGCGGGAACAATTGCAGCAAATAAGGTGAGTTTTTTTCGCAAAAAAATAAAATGAACTTGTCATGAGCGATCATGCAAATATAATTATTGAATTTTGAAATGTCAGAAAAAATCAGCTGCTATTTCAATCGGAAATGCAGCAACGCGCCAGCAGCGTAGAGGAGGGCGAGTGTTCGCAGCCAAGACATTCGCCAGGCAACATCAGTCCGGACATGAAAGTGTCACCGAGTTATTCGCGAAATTTGACGCCTAAATCAATCACAAGCGTACATTCACAGACCGCCGACTCGGGACGAGCATCAGGCAAACCCGCAGACATGGACGAAATTCAGCGCATCGGCACGATCGAGGACGAAGATCGATCTGAATCTATTGGCTCGTCGCCACTGGAAGACGAAGGATTCGGCAAAAAATCCGAGGAGCTTTATGCGATGGCCAAAGAGATCGTTGCTCAGGAGAGCGACTACAAGAAATTGCTGAACGATGCTGAGAAACAAAGGGAACTATTGGCGAACCAAGTGGTCGCGTTACGTAAGACATTGGCCAGTTTCGTATCATCCCAAGTTTACAACGAGTTGAAAGGGAAATATTTGGAGACAAATATGCGGCTTCGAGCAGCTGTTGAAGACAAACTAACCGTGATCGACAATACCGACGAGGCCAAGGACATCGAAGTCGTGAAAAGCAAGGCCATGCAGGATCTCCGAAACGAGCTGATTTCTATTCACAAACAACTCTCGGAAACAGCTATCCGATCCACTTTTAATGAAAACCAAATCGACTCGAAAGCAGCGATCGAATTAGAAACGAGTATCGCTGAACTGAAAGCAGAGAACGAGCGTCTGAAGAAAGAAGCGGAAATCGCGCACGAGGAAGCTCTCATTCATCGAGCCATAGACTCCACTGTGCTTGCGGAGATTAACGAGCTACGTCAACGAATTCTCAAATTTGAAATGAACGAAGATCAAGAAATCAAGGAGGCGACGCGACTTTCGCTCGAACTGGCCAACTACAAGATCATTGAGACTGGACTGCGCGAGCAGAAGAAAGTACTGGAGCGCGAAGTAGCAAGGATGCGAAAAGAACTTGACGACGTGCGAATGAATGACAAGGAGATTGCCGGAATAGCTTGTCAACAAGGAGATTGCAGGTAATTTCTGCAAATTGGCTTTCTGAATGAACTAATCCTTTATACTTTTGTTCGGGTTATCATACGTTGTAAAAATAAATTAAGTAATTTGGTAAGTTGCGTTATTGTTGACGTCAACCTTGTCTTGTCTTGGAATCAATTAAAAGCCTCTTTACGATCTCGTAATTTTTTATAATTTCGTTTCATCAATGTATTCTTTTTTATTCTTTCCAACTCTTCTTATTGCAGAAGGTATATCGAAATTATTGACTTTTTACAACATCAATACGCTGGTTCAACGTCCTTGAGCGCTTGGGAAAGATATGAGATTAAGTTGAATAAATTAAATAACGATCGGAACGAAGTCAAAGAGTTGATATTGAAAATAAACGAGCAGAATGAGAATGTAAAAATACAGCACGAGACACTCACTAGTCGACTGCAAATAGTGGAGGAACTTAAAAACATGTTAGAACAACAAATTGGTAGCGGTGATGTTCAAGATATCATGCAAAAGTTTTCGAGTGCAACTCGACAAACTCTTATGGTACGTCGCAATCTCTCTCGTTATATTACACTTGATTATTACAATTTCAAAAGGCTATCCTTTCGCAGGAATCCAAGTGTCATTTGCAAATAAATCAATTAGAAGAAAAAGTTCATCGAGCCAACATTGATATAGCTGATTACGAGACCAAATTAATGTCAATGGAAAAGGAAATGAGTAGGCTACAAAAAGCGTGGAAAGTTCAGAAGTTGTCTGGCACAAAACGACCTGCTTGTGTAGATAAAGTGATAGAAACAGATAAGATGAGTGAGGTGAAAACGTCGTCCCGACCAGCCGTTACAAAATCAACGCAAACCGAAATTAAGATACGTTCGATAGAGACGCAGTGCGTGATTTGCTGTAAGCTAGTTGCAAAAAATAAAGATGAAGTAGAGCAGATAGATGAAGAATGTGAAACTGACGTCGTAATTCAAGATGACGACGGAGATTTGTCAAAAGGTACGTTGTCATTTTTACTTGACCCATTTTGATATTTCGATAAACATTTCTTCTTGTATACGCAAACAATATTGAAGAGAGAATTGTTGAACTTTCAGCATCAAACGTCGCACTGCTTCAGGAGCAGCTGGGCCAAGCCTTGAGCCTAGCAACCGAGCGCTCGGTGGCTTTGTCCAAGTGCGAGTCGCAAATAGCGGAATATCGCGCCAAGATCGCCGCGCTGACGAGACTGCTCGAGGAAAAAGCCAGCAACAGCTTGGCCGGGCATCACTCCGACGAGGCGACGAAAGACGAGGAGAGCGGCACGAGGCAGGAGGCACTGCAGCTCACGATCAAGAGCCTACAGAAGATCATCTCGCAACGGGACGAGACAATAGCCAGATATCAGGCTCTGCTCAAGGATGACCGCGATAAGCACAGCGCGGCTGCTAGCCGTCTGCACGACGAGATTAAGAGCCTCAGGAATCAGATCATCGCCAAACGCCCCATGGCTTTCACCACTGATAACGCACTGTTAGCGCGCAATGTTTTACTCGCTCGCTTTATCTCTTGGCCCATTTCTTCCTTGAGTTACTGCCGAGCTTGTCCCTTTTTTTTTGCGGTTATACGGATTCGTAACGATTCATTGGACGGTCTGTTTTATGGTTTCATTCTCATCAACTCAAGATTTCCAGTTGAAATTAGAATTCTTTGAATTCTTGGGCAAATCGTTCAAGTATTCGTTTAATCGAATATCGTTAATTTGATTTTTAAACAATGACGAATTTCGTATTGTAGTATTTTTTAAAGCGATAAGCAAGTTACAGTAGAATATTATTTTACCAAGAAATTTGATATATCTTAAGAATGTAACGTATCTTTGAAAGTAAGGTCGTTAAGACACTTACATTTTATTTTTGTCATGCTGGGAAGTTTTATATTACTAATCGATATGCTCTTGAAGTGTAGTAATTCTCATGAGATACATATACATGCGATTTTGAAGTTAAAAAATAATAATATTTTAACAAACAGTTTGACTTTAGGGCTAAGTAAAAAATGGCAAGTTGTTCGTTTCGTGATACGCAAGCCTCGTGTAATATAAAATTTTCACCGGCTTTCTACAGGTCTGCAATCTCGGAACAGCCAGAAAGGGATTTATCCCTTGGAGAAGCCGTGAAAAGCGAGGAAAAGGTAGTAGAGGAGATGTCAGTCCTGAGGGAGAAAATTTGCAGGCTCGAGACCGAGCTAAGCATAAGCCATGAACTGGCTGAGAGGTGGCATCGATTGGCCGAGGATAGACTCAGGCATATGGATAGCACGAGGCAAAGGTTAGTTCAGAAAATATTCATAGCTTCCGTAAAGTGAAATTTTTCTTTGAAAAGAGTTTCTTTTACAAATTTTATCCGAGATATGCGCGACTTGGCCGCCCGCTATGCCGATTTCATTCGAGGAAAATAAAATGCCTTCGAATGCTTTGCATAAATATCGATTGGAATAATTTTAACGTAGATTGGAGGAGCAGCACAATGAAGAAATTGACAGTTACCGCAAAGAGTTGAACAAAAGGCAGCGCGAAGTAGACGAACTGAGACGACTCTTGTCCGAAAATCGTCGAGCTCCTTCGTCCGAAGTGATGTCAATTATGAAAGCTCTCCAAATCGAAGATAATCGCTTGGCAGACGAAATCGAAGTGAGCGTCGACTCTTTATCGTCATCTCATTGCCCGACAATTTTAATAATGTAATTAATGATTGATGCAGAGTGAGCTGGAGGAACGCGCCGCTATCACATCTCAGCAATTGTCCTCGACCTATCGCGTCGAGGAATCGAGAACCTACGAATTGGAGCAATTACATTCTCAAGTGGACAATTTGCGAAAGCAGCTGCACGGCGCATCGGACAGAGAAAGATCGTACAAGAGTGAAATTGCTGGACTAAAGCAAGAAATAAGTAAAAGGTCTTTTCTTTTAACGTTACCATTTTCAAATAGACGCGCCCAAGTCTTTATTTAGAGAACTGGAAATGAATCTGGAAATAAATATTTTTCGCGGTGATGCAATGCTTCGCAGGTATATGGCTGTGAAAGCGCAAGAGAAAAAGGCGTCTAGACGCGAAACGTATCTCGAGAAAAAAGTGAAAGAACTCGAGGAAGAATTGCACGAGACTAAGGAGCTGCTGGGTCGTCATTACGTGGCGCAACAAGCGAAGAGAGCCAAGGTTTGCGCGCTCACGCGTTAATTAAAAAATTAGAGCTTTGCGGGCAAAATTAAGCGATCGCTTTTGAATTTTGGTTTCATGTTCAGACTGCCGAAGATCTAGGCTTGTGGGAAAAGTTGAAGAAGTGGCAGCAGACGGCCGAGAGATTGAAAGAGAAATTAAAAGAGAAATCGGACGAGTGTCAGAGGTTACAGAACAATTACGAGAAACTACGGAGTCTCATAGTGTGCATGGAGCGGGAAAAGTGGTATCTGCGAGGAAAGTTCAGAAGCGAAAGTGTCCCGATACCCGCGTGGACCCCGTCGACCGAAGCTACGCAAAATAACGACGCCTTAGTGGAAGAACTGCAACGGGAATGCCAGGAGCTGCGAGATCGCGTGAGAGAGCTCGTCGCTCGCTTGAACAGTCAAGATAATGCCAAGAACGAGGAGAAAAAGAGACCTGCATCTGTCGCTTTCGAGGTTTGTTAATCGCACGCTGGAGTGCGCATCGCGTATCATTTACAGCGCCTCCATAATATTTATCTATTGCGTGATCGTATATTTTTTAGGCTTGAACTACTTTGCTACAGTAATTTGCTTGGTGTCGGCTATTTAAACTACATTAGGTTTTCTTTTAAATTGTAAGCTAATTTTTTCTGAATGCTTGTCAAAGCCGTAGCGCATGGCTAGTATTGAACGCCCATATCTATTTGAACCTCTATAGCTATTATTTATCTATCGAGCTACTGCTAAGTTTCTACTAGTTACTGCTTTTTATTAAGCTAAATAACAAATATAGATTACTAACAGCGGCTTGTTTTAAAACAAAGTAATGTAATGTATCATGTGCTCTGTGATAGATCGCTTCAAAATTTTACACGTGATAATGATTTTTATCTTAGGAGGATGATTATATCAAGGATGATATTAGACGATTGAAAGGCCTTATAGAGTTGCTAGAAAAAGAAAATCTAAGATTAGAAACTGAAAATTTTGAACTTCGTTTGGAACTTGAAAGGGCTAATGTCAATACGCCTCGGTATCAAGACAAAATTCAGCATTTAGAAAGGTATAAATATAATGGTATTTTTATTTGCGATTTTTTGAATAAACTAATTTTTTAAATCAAATTAGATACATAGAACTTTTAAAATCTGAAAAATCAATGGAGATAAATTATTCATCTTCAATGTCCAAGCGAGATAGCACTCAAAGAACAAAGGCTGAGCTTGAAAGAACGGTAGTCACATTGAAAAACTTAGTCGAGAAATTGCAGCTTGAAAATAGAAAATTGCGAGTTTCGTCTGTCCCAACTGTTCATGATTTAGATGTGCAGTGCAATTGTATATGTTTGAGAGAGGAGCACGAAGAAGCTTTAAAGAGAATAATATCTTTGGAAACCGAATTAAAATTAGCGGAAAAGAAAATTGCGTTGATGGAGGAAAAATTAAACGAAATAGATGTTTTAAGGCAACAACTCAGCCGAAAATCAGAGCTTTTATCAAAAGTAAAAGATTTACTTGCGAAGGCCGCTGTTAATGAGAAAGCGTTACGACAAAAAGTGAGTATTTTTGTATTATTATTATTTTTTATAAAAAATGTCTACGGTTTCTTTCTGTCTATATCTGATTTGAAAAGGAAAATAAAACAATAAAACAAACTAGATAAACAATTTATTTTTGAAAAGAGTATTATGTAAGTGCTTGTTAAACACAATGTTTATTTTTTTAATACTTGTAATAAACATTTTTCTATTTATTGTTACAGATACAGCAGCTTGAATTCAATCAAACGCTTTCTATAATATCGGAATGCGGTTCACCATTAGCTATAACGTAAATTTAACATATATGAAACCAATGCACAGTATTTTGATACAGATATTATAGTGACTTGTATTTTGTATAAATTAACTACTAAATAATAATTAAGCTTTAAGATGTGTGCTGCCGATTTTGATAACGTGGAAGTAAATATAGAATTAAAGTGCGATTACATTTGTGGTTTTATTATCTTACGATAACACTATCAAGCCTTACTGAACTTCATTTAGATTGGTAATGAACGGTGTTAAAGTATCGGGATCTTCGATATCCGGAGTCATTTTTCCCTTGAACTTGACGCAATATTCATCACACAGTCGTTTATAAAAGTAAATTCCTAGAAATTTCTTGCATTGCGACCAATTCCAGAAACAGTTACCTGAGATGCATTTCAGAAATAGTTCATAAAAATTTTAATTCAGATACATACGTTTAGCGCTATTAACATACCCACTGATGGATAATTGACTGCGATTGTTAGGTACATAACACAACAAACAAAATAAATGACTAGCAAACATTTTGGTGAAGTCATTTCTTCATGAATACATAAAAAATGTATACTGTGAATTGCACAATAACATGCCAAGCTCACGTTTGGGTAACTGTAATGCGATACACATAAAAATCTTAATATTAGAGCAAAATAATATTTGATGAAAAATATTAGAGCTATTTAGGTTATGTGATACACACAGAATTTAAAAATAAAATTTACATTACAAATTAAAAAAATTCCATTCTAATTTTGTCTTTGACTTACTGGAACTTGAAGACAACCTCGGTTATTTACTAATAAAACACTAGCGACCGCCAACTTTTTCTATGGTAGGAATGATGAAGAATATGATAGTTGAACGGTTTTTATAGGTCCTACCTAGTCCTACTCCTCAACGTAAATGAATTATATGTTCTTCAAGTAATATACTCCTGCGGAGATTTCTTTTGCGATGATTTAATTAGGTTTTTATGTATTTGGAAAAAAGCTAATGTGCACGCTTCTATGGAATAACAAATATTAAATTAATACTCCATTAAAGAAAACACTAAAATGCAATTTCGTATCGAAACAACGTTATTATTTGCTTTTTGAATAATTTCATTGATATATCACCTAACAGCATAGGGCGATGGATAGGTACGCATTTAGAAATAAAACACAGTATCTGTCAGCTATTCAATATAATGCATTTTTATTCGTCACAAATTATTTAAAGAAATACATGAAAATGCCTCCAAAAAATCCCATGTCGGTATTAATTTTTAAATACTAAATAAATCCTAAACGATTTACATGTTACAGAAAATTTAGAAAAACAAATCATGAGAGAGAATTAAACACATGTGGTATATATTGACTTATACATTAATAAAAACTATACAATATATAAAAATCATTTGACATCATGTGCCTCATTATATCTAATTCGATGGCACTGAAGTTGTCAGTACTTTTGATGTATTAAACAAACTTAAATTAAAAGTACAAAAGTACTTTGAGTTACCGATTAAAATGTATTGATTCTCGTATAAAATCGGACAACAGTTATGAAATTATACTGTAACTGCTTTAATCAAGCATCTTATATCGTCAAAGTTTTATATTGATATAAAACATAGAAAAACATTTTTTATTGAGGAAAGAATAAATCTTTATTCATTGATGGGTATTAAGCAGAGATAAAATTGTGACGCAAAAATGTTTTAGGTATTTAATTTTTGCGAGACTAAACGAATATATTGAACTGTTGGAGTAAAAATAGTATTTCGTTTAATTTTCAGTATTACTCGAATTACTCAGGCGTGAAATTCGCAGTTACACTCTTCATCAAATATTCAACTAGTCTTAAAATCTAGGCGTACGTACATTATTTTCAGCATCAAGGAAAGTTTCCTCGTTGCTTGAAAAAAAATGATTCACTAGTCTGAAATGGCTGTAAACGTTGGAAAGTGGTTCGCAGACTTTTTTAGATAATAATATGAGATTCGATGCATTGTTACGACATTGAAAAATCGGTTATCAATTATTTTACGAAATAACAGCATTTCACTTCACGAATTGTCTCGTAAAATCGTATGATCGAGCGTAGGTCGCTGACTGTGGATATTCTGCCCACTTCGTCAAATCGATGCCTGGAAGAATTCCACTTTTGCATGGCACACGTGGATTACTGCAAAAAGATATATGGATAATTTTATAAAAGAGAGGTATCGAAGACTTGTATATACTGATAAGCTTACACTTCGTAATCCGGCAAAACCATGGGATAAACTTGTATAGTGTCGATCAAATCAGTATTGTCGCAAATAATTCTGGCTAAGTGTGATTTTCTAAGTTCTTGCAGTTGTTCTAAAAATAATAAAGCAATTGATTATTATGTCATGGAGAATGTGGATTTTTTCAATAAAATAATTGAACGAACCAGGTGTGAAAGTCGACGGTTGATTGGGAAGTTCGTACCAAAAGCGGTCGCCTCTCCTAGAATTGCTAAATTGAGTAGCAATAACACAAGCAAAAGTCGGTCCCAACATACTTCCAGGTAGTGGCCTTTCAGAAACGCCACCCGACCAAAGATCAATATCCGCAGGATGTCTGAAAGTCAGTCATGTTCATGAAAACACATGCGTTGCAAAGGAAAGCCGAAAAGAAGTTATTTAAGAGATGCCCGAGGATTAAGCACCAAGTAATTGCTGCCTATAAAAGAAAATGAAAAGAAAACTGGGATGCCTTTAGGATTCGAAGTGCGTTGTATTTACGGTTAAACGCGCAATTTGCGAAAAAGCAACTCACTCGAAAATGGATTGATAGCGCTGGATAGTCTCGTTAGGCATCGAGCCATACATCTCCTCGAAGGTGTTCGCCCAAGGCAGTCCGCAGAATTTCCTAAAACGGAATTGAGTGAGCATACGAGAAAAACATCGTCGGCGGCTGCGTGCGCCGCGAATACGAATGTCGAAAGCCAGCGAGAGAAAGAGACTGACTGACAGTGCCGCGGACACGCACAAGAGTATGTAGGGGCGGGGTAGACCAAACAAACCTGAATTCCATGTATCCGGGAATGCCGAACTCGCGGCCGCGCTGCATGTTGAACGAGACCAGATCCATGCCGAATTTGGCGCCCGCCTTCTTGAAAAGGTGGTTCGTCACCTACGCCAGGGCGCACAGATACGGCTGTTTAATTAATTGCTTTGTCGCCTGCCTCGCAACGCGTGCAGCACAATTAGCACATCCCAGCGCTCCGCTGGCTTAATTGTCGCGACCCCTTGAGAACGGCCCCGGCCGTTTCTGCTTGGCTGCCTTAATCGTTAGGCGCGCGAGCCAATTGCTTGTGCAACCATTGCGATTCCGAAAAATAAACGTATCGGCGATTGGCGCAACGCGCCGCTCGCGCGCGGAAAAGTAGATCGAGCTTTATACCTCTTGCGTGATGGAGTCATCCATAGCCTGGGATACTTGATTAGCCAGACCCATGATGTATTCGTCGAAAACGCCAGCTCTGTACAAATCGAACGGCCTCCTGATCAGGTCGGACAAACGCTTCGTCGCTAACGGAAACGTACTCATTCGTCATGGCTGCTTTAATTGAATTCGATTATGCAAATGAAAGGGCGGCTGTCGAGCTTACCAATGAATTTGTGCGCTTTGCTCCACCTTTCGACGGCGGTTGGTAGCAGCGAGTGTCCGAATCGGAAAGCCGCGGCTGCGAAGGCATCAATGACTCCGGGGTTGACATTCGGATCGTATCCATCCCAGTATCCCTATTTGTCGACGGTCACAGTCGTCATTCCAGTTGGCCGAGTGAACATCGCGAAAATGCCAAGCAAACATACCTCCTTATCCAAAGTTAGGCCGAACTTCTGCATGACATCCTTGCCGAGCAAAATAGGCAAGAACTCGTTGTAGGTGATATGCTGGATCTCGGCGATGTTGATACGTCTGGCTTCTTGGAACAGGGTTTCGTCATCCCAAAGGGGGTTCACCAACGCTAGACCCTTGGCCAACCTGTTGTGCTCGCGAGCCATCAGCGTATGCATGCAGGTCAGCACCAGTTGCTCGTTCACCCTGATCTCGCCTTGAATGTCGACACGCGCGCGGTATAATCCCTATTCGCATGCGCGCGCCTTGCGCAATCGGCGATAACGGTGCACGACGCTTACCGGCTTCGAAGCAGTACATGGAGCGGTTCGGACGAGTGCAACCTTCGTCCGGGATGTCCAGTTTTAACGGCAGCAAGTCTTTCAGACCGTACTCCTCGAACACGGGATTCATTCTCAACAGGCCCGCGTAACCACTTCGCAACTTGCTGTTGGATTCGACAATTAATAGCCGGGCGTAAATGTTAATTGCGATAATTGGTATCAGCCGTAAGTTACACGCTTCACGGGAAAACAGCGCAGACAAGTTGAATAATTGCTGCAGGATGGATAGGCGTTTTTAGCCGATGACGTCGGAAAAAAGTAAAGTGTATACGCGATATCGCGCGACTTTTACTCGAGAGTTCGTATTGATCTCAAGACCAGCTACACGCGTCTCCCCGTGCGAGTGAATGGTTGCCTAGGCAACCCGAACAAAAAGTGAATGATTATGTACCACTTTGAAAAATGTCGATCGCGAAGTGCAAGAAAATACCTCGATGAACGAGAAACATAGTTCGATATCTATCAATTACGTACGAAATGCCGAAAGACTGTTAAGATATAACTTCCTTAAGATTATCAAATGGTCGGACAATCGATCAATTTTATAAAACATATAAAATTTCTTTCGCAAGTTTTTTATATAACTTGAAAAAATAAATGTAAGTCAATTTTTCGTAAAACGGTTCTTAGAGTTAAATTAAAAAAAAAAAAATTTAAATCATAATTGTCGTACCTGGCGAAAGCATCGCTGATTCCATAAACGGTATTGCCGTCAAGCACACCAGTAAGAAGGTTGAAGGGCACGCGACTGCCAAGACGACAGTTGGGTCTGACACCCGGAAAAGCGCGTACAAAATCTTGGCAGCGCAAGTTGAACAGCCGATAAAAGTAGTCGTCTTCGGGAATGATGATCTCGTTGCAGTACGGGTTCTTTTTCTCCGGCGGAAGATTGCAGCATTCCTCCGGGTCGTTGCGATTTCTTGGATCTGGCAATTCATCGGTGATAATGTCAAGCGAATGATCTGACGTAACGAGACAGTCAGCCATTCATCCCGCGTGCATTCAAAGGACATTGCGAGCGCATTTCGCGTCATCGCTCTTGATGTCGCTGTACTTCGCGCAATGCCGCTTTGTATTGCGAGGAGCGAAAAGCTTTGCGATCAATTATAGCGCGCGTTTGAAAGAGCACTGTCAGGACGAAAAAGGAGCTAGCGTGATCCGAGTGTTTTTGATATCGCAGTTTCGGCGATACGTTTGTCCCATTTATCCGCGTAAAACGAAACTTGGTAAGTAGTTTCTGTATTTATAATTTGTCGATTAACATTCTGACGATCGGTAAAAGGACTTTGCCGCTGCACTCTGTGCCTCCGTAAATTAGTTGGCACATTTCGTCACGCGCGCGTCGTCGTTGGAATTCGTTTTAGCTACGAACGCCCAATTACCGCGGGGAAGTAACACTCCGAAAACGACTGCGGCTATATACGCAACAAAAATATTTTAATCAGCTGCATATCCCCACAGCTATAAGGGCTATGGGAAACCACTTTTTCGTCTCATAATAACCCCAACGATAGTTGGGCAAGACTATCTGCAATCAATCACCGTTTCACGAATGAATGGCTCACCGGCGCAAAATTTGATTAATGAAAGTCAGAGAAAAGCTCACCGAGTGGAGTGGCGGTGAGAGTATAATCGTGGTCCATAAATTGACCCCACGCAATCACCATAACTGTGCCAGCGTGGTCGTGGAAACCGTCGTCCGGATGCATAGTCCTAGAAACCACGCGGGCCAGCGGCAGGTCACTGCCCGTCAGGGACATCTTCGGCGCGTTCATACCGTCCGCGAATCGTGGGCTCAGCAATCTGCAATTTTGCGAAAACTGACGTTTTCGGACATGTTCGGCGCGAGACCTTCGAATAAAGGAGCTTGCTGACGCAAACAACACTTTCACCGGCGCGCAGCGCAAACAACAGGAGCCGAAAGACGACCTTGCTTTCCCGACCCGCGCGCCAGATGCCCGCCAGTGACTGCGGCGACCGCTAACGGTCGCGGCAGCGCCCAGTTGGCGGAAGTGTAAAAGGACTCGCGCGTTCGACCCCAATGCGAAGGAAAGTAAAGGCGCGGGCCACGATGGAACGCGCGCACGCTATCGAATCCCACTGGCGCACCGTGCGATTCGGAGTTGAAAAGAGTCGAGCTTCGGCCGACGGCGACGCCTCGATGACGCGTGGAAACGAAGTCTCGTCGAGCGCTTTGCAATGGATTACCTGACGAACGGCGAGAGGCTTGCGCCCCACGTTGGATTTTCCAAATTGGTGCAAAGCCCATCGAATCGACGGTACTTGCCGGGCCTGCACTCGATGCTGTGCAAGAATGCCGGACACACGTCGCGGATGAGCGTTTTCGACGTGTCAACGAGGGGCAGGCCGTTCTCCACCTGGTCCACCGTCAAGCCGTATCTGAAAGCGTTCGTCACTCTGTAGTTACGACCCGCTGCGTCGATGCGGACGCGTTGGCGTTCCTTACGTTCGAGCAAGATTCGTCGAGATGTCGAGAAGCAACTCCCCGACGCTGGCGAGATATTCGGGCTTCCATTGGCCGTCTCCGGGAACGGTCACATCTGCAATTCAACACCGAGGTCCCGGTGATCAAGCGAAGCAAAATTATATCTAGCTGATCGAGAAAAGAATTTATCGCGGAAGAATGGGTTTCAAGATTGATTTGCGCGCATGGCGAAGAGAAACTTACAAATTCGCTTGGAGGCTTCGATGAAGGCCCGATCAACGGCTTCGTAAGTGATGCAAGTTTGCGATCCGTGCGCTGCTGGGCTAAATTGCAAAGGGAAAGAAAAAGAAAGAGCGTGATCTTATTCTCATTGTTACGCAAATTACGTGCGCGCGTTTGCGCAACCGAGGGCGACGCTTTTATGATTGCGCCTTTCAAACAGGTGCGCATGCCAATCGACGCCAGTTTTTACTCGTAATTAAAGCCAATTGTCGGCTACACGTATCCGTACTACGTATCCTTTCATTTATCAGCCGAAACATTGCGCAACGCCGGAATGAGTATATTCACTTGAAAACTGCAGGTCTTTTTAGGGAATACACGTAGAAAATAAAATACCAGTCATAAATGCACTTACTTCACGCGGACTTGCGTAAATCTACGTTTTGCATAAAGCTTCAAGCGGCTTGAAATAATTGTATTCCGCGTACTCCGCGCCAATACAATAAACATTGTGTGGCGCAGCTTGCAACGGTAAGGCTATACGAGTAAATGTCGTCGAGCGCTGGAGTTCCAAAAGCGTCCCGCCCGCAAACGAGACGACGATAGGTATACTCACGCGACGGCGCGCAGCAAGTTGAGAGTGTAATCGTAGAGGCTGCTACGTCCCGGGCCGTCGAGGATCAATGCACACCCTTCGGCACCCTTCGCGTACGCGTCAAGCGGCTCATATTGCAGCCCGCCCGCCAACGCCAGTAGCGTCAGCAGTAGCGCCGTTCCGCTATTGGCGAATCTGCGAATTGCAAATGCAAATTAGCCAAGCCGACCGTAAAAATTGTCGGCGCGCACTAATCTATTAAGCGAACTGTTCATCGGCAGGCATTTTCGTTCAACGTAACGCACGCCTCGAAAGCACGCTAATTTTTACATAGAGCCTGAAAATGACGTTCGATAACGTCGGCTGTCGCTACAACAGGCAATGGATTTGCTATCCTTGCTGATCGGCGAAAACGTCAAGATTGATAACGGCGATTGATTTACGCAAACGGAAAGGCGATCGCTATATGTACATCGAATATGAAACATTACAAATCAAAATAAACAAACGTCTTGAAAGAAATCTATTAACGAGCACGCGTTGATTCTCCAGATCAACGGGGTGCAATTATCTTAAGTAACGCTTGTTAGTAAATTAACGGACTTAATTTTCAAATGGTTCTTGCGCCTTATAATTATTTACCGTCAATTAGTCGCCGGAGTGCCGCTACCGTAATTAATTCTATCTACGTTCGTAATCTCATTTCGTTATCTCGTTCTCGCGCATAAAATTTCACTCGTCTGAGATATTGGCAAAAGACTTACGAGTGCGAGCGTTGTTTATGCAACGAGACAGCCCTAATCTCTCTGAATGCGAAGAAAGTGCTTCAAGCTTCCAAGACGAACGTTATTGCGCAACGTGTTTTCACCATTGTTACAAGATATCGATCAACATGGAAATAAATAGACATTGAGTGAACATCAATGTATAACGGCTGATTAAAATGTAGATTAGAGTTGAATAATACGTAGGTGTACGATATTCATACTCCCCATGTATACTCGATCGAGGTCGACAAATAGGACAATCTCTTACGAACGGAGCAATCAACTTATTGGAGTGAAAGAGCTAATAACTCTCAATTGACTTTTGAGTCCCTGAAGCAGGGTTGTCTACGTGCGAAAGCTCCCGCGCGCTTGTCTCAAGATGACGAAACGTCGTTTCCTTTTTCCCTTTTTCATTTTGGGAAAGTCAGGTCGAGGGCATCGATAAGCGACCCTGTCGTTGGATTCGCTGGCGCAAGAAGCTCCATTATTGGCGTCATTTTTCTTTTTTGCAAAGTAGCCGCAGACGTACAATTTCACACTCGCGCCTGCGAGGAAATACTTTCTCTGCGAGAGGGAGAAGCGGGGAGGCGGGGGGAGGAGGCGTAAGGGGACCTCTTTATTGTTGCTCGCTCTCGGACATATGCATTTTTTTGCGTCCACGGTCCTTTCACTTCTCGTATTCGTAGGTGTATCCCTAGCGGGTCACTCGCGCCTGCGGTTTCAAAAACAAAGAGGAAAAAATCGAGCATGCGCACAAATTGCAGAGCTGCTGCTCCTCGAGTGCTCTATACGAACATTTTTAGACTTCATAATCAGTTCCATATGCTGACTGTACTTGTTCAATTGAAATAAAATATTTTTGTTTATTCAGCGATGTAAGCCAGCAACAACAGAAGGTGATAGCTTTGTCATATTGATTTTTTCATATTATCATATTACTTACATCTAGGTCGTAGCACTTTTGCCTTGTTGCATACTTGTCGTTTATTATTACGGCTGGACATGTGCGTTCACATAATTTTTTCACATTTTATTAAGCTTTTATACTTCGAAAAATCCTGCTTATCTTTGTTAGGCAAAGTGTGTGCTTGTGCGTGTACGCGTGTATTTATAAACAGTACGGATACAATTTTATGGAAAGCATTACTCACAACCTTTACAGGTCTCCAGTGTTTCAAAAATTATTTAAAAATAATTCCAAGTTACTTTGGATTTGAAAGTTTCCAATTATGCAAATATATTAAAGATTTACTGACATTACGAAAGTGCTTGTATAGTTAAATCCTAAAAATAAAATGTTCAGTTGAAAAAAAGATTATGAATATTTACTTTGGTTCATTAAAGATTAAAAGATCATTGAACGTTCAGGGGTGCTGTAAAGTTTGTAACTGCTGAATACACAAAACGAGGTCACACGCTTTTGTAACACTTTTGATCTGCCACGATATCTCGGTATACATTACGTATTTAATAATTTCAAGGTAAATACCACGTTCGCCAAGCTTCGCGTACGAATGCATTTTCACTGATGCAATGGTGGTATTTCGGCGATTAAAAAGCGTACTTTAGAAAGAAAAAAGTAGAGTGCAAGTCCCACGGGAGGTAATTATCCGATGCATGACGGAATGCAATGGATTACTGGGCTTTTGATGGCGCTATGTAAAACTACCTAATGCACCGCAATAGTCTTGAGTGCCACACCAATTACTCGTTTTAACTCAATTAAACCGTCATAAAACGAATCACTTTGCGTGAAATAAGACGCTTGCCGCTAATTTTGCGCAATAGCAGTTGCGTTGACAGACGTGTGAAGAAAAGAGGAAAATAATGCACGTGCGAGAAAACGAAAGCGCCTGGTAGTGAAAGTTAAGATTTTAACTAATTATTTTCGTTATTAATTTTTTTTCTAAAAAATAAAATGCACGTTAATACAAAATTGTACAACGAATTTTAGTTCGATTCCGGAATCTCAATTTAAAAAGCGATCCGCATTATATTTCGATTATGCCGCGATCGATTCAATTGTTATACGTAAAAATCTCTACAGTAACCTACATCCTACATATAATAGGATATTTAGAGAGCTATTACTAATCATAAATCAGTGGGTGAGGGCAAGATTGCATAACAGTTAATTGATTAACTATATATTGCATACGTAATGCTTGTATCCTTGATACCCATATTACAAAGTCATTGGTTAATAAAACAACTTAGTATTCACGAAATATGTCTATATGAATCAAATTTGATTAAAAAATCCTATTAGATAACTGTAGGTTTCGTAGTTTTCTTAAAAATAATAATCTCATAAATTACTTATTCATAAAACTATTCGTAACGTACGTATGAATTTATTAATTATGATTATAGCGTACAACATTTTTTATTATATTATCCAATTATTATGTACAATCATTCAATAATTATTATAAAAAACGTTCGACATTTGATTGAATAACTATAGTTCACAATCATTAGGAAACATTTTTGTTTGGATTTACCCAAACTTTGACATAAAAAGCATCGTGAAAAAGCGAACCGTTAAATATCGTTATGGATCTGACTCATGAACTTTTAAATTTACACCTCCAGTACATAGCATCAACTAACCTAACGATACTTTCAACAGCGCGAAACATATTTTACATGCAATACTTTTATATTAATATTTTTTATGATATAATCTTGTGAAATGAAATCTTGTAAAATGAAATGTGACTTTTAAATAAATACGTTGATATTAGTTATTTTAATATAGGGTTCACATTTTTTAAATATTTAAATAATACCGTTACTTTATTAGTCTTTAAAAAAAATTATTTTTAATAATAAAAATCCTCGGGATTAACTATAATTATCGACAGTCATGAATAAGACTGAATATTTTTGTTCGAACCTGTTAATAATGTGAAAGAAATTCTAATTGATTAAATGAAAATAATAAAAATTGACGTACCCTGTTTTCATATTGCCTTGCCAATATTGCTCTAAAACTCAGCACAAGTTATCGTGGCCGCTTTATTTTGCACTTTCTACATTCCCGCAGCAACAATCGGACGACAAAGCAATTCAGAAAATCTTGTGAAAATTCGACAAGATATTAAATAAAACCCTTATTCAGCAGGGCGCACTCGCGTTCGAAAAGTCACCTCGTGTATTCATGAACAATTGCCATATAAGGTAGTTGCATGTAGGTGAAACGTTTCGAGCCTGTCCCACGAGGACAGACTTGCTCGCAATTCGGCTTGTCGGTCGAGAGTTAAACGATCACTGCGATGTTTCGTGGTGTCTACACATGCCGAGAGTGCTGGGCCTCACTTGAGATCGAGGGCTGCTCGGTGGAGGGATCGACACAGGCACAGAGTGAGAGGGCTCGGATGGATTAAAAAAAGGGGGAGCGCAGGCCAGAGAAAGAGAGAGGGAGGACACTTCCGAAAAAAAAGGAGAGTAAATGTTATTTGGTCGCGACGCCCGCCGAGACGCGAGAGAGGGAAGTCCCAAGGAAGGGAGTTGAGAGGTGAGAGACGGAAAGAGAATATCAAAAAGGTTGCTCGGAGAAATGAATCGACGGACGTGTCTTTGTAACGAGCTACTTTTGTTCTCCATGATCTTTCGCGATGCGAAATTGACAAGTAAAAGGGATTGTTAACGATGCTTGGCAGACGGGAATTTTAAAAAAGATTTATTTCAAGGATGTCGTTTCGAATTCTACTTTCTATACTTTACGATTACGGGAAATATTTGAATCTGATGCAAGCGTGCTATTTCGTTAATTACGAACGCGTATTGATACAAAAATAATATTTCCGCGTCTAACACATCAATATGAAAGGAATGGTCAATAAATTTACAAAAATGGAAAAACTTTAGCATGGTAAATAACATTTCTTTTTTAAATTAAACAAACATTTAATTAAACGAGAGGTTTTCTGATCATTTCGATGCCTAAAGGGTTAGATTGCTTGATATAAGTATCAATTTTACAAATCAGAAATGGTTCCAATTAAAAAAAAATCCATGTCTATTTTATAAGAGAAAAAACTGAAAACGTTCATTGCATGAATTCGGAGAAAAGAAATCTTGATTCTAATTTGCTCAGCTTGCGTCTGATTTGGAGTAAAGCGACCTCATTTTTTTTCTTCATGGTGGGCATAATGATATAATGAATAGGATAAATGCGTTTCTTTTATGCCTCACGTCGGCGAAGAAATTTCAATGCTCGCACGCTCGGAGAGATTTGCGACCGGTTGTTATGTGGTCAATTCTCTACGAGATCGGCACGATAAACATTGCCTCTACTGGAAATCGCGGTTTACATGCTTACTCAAAAATGATCGACGAGTGTGTGAAAAAACTGTATCGGGATTTGTTTCGATTTTTGATTGATTGTTGACGTTGCCACAGTATTACGTAAAATTCCACAAAACCATGCTTTATTCGCTAAATTAATCGTCTTATAATGATTTTAAATGCGCTGTCAATGTGATTAGTCGCATATGCCTCAATTTTTTTTTAAGGATTCAATCAAGAATATTTTGAAATAATTCAATCTAATTCGTGGCATTCCTTACACTTACCGTGGACATAATACAAGGCGAAAATAAAAAATTCAGAGTTATAAAATTTAATCCTGTATAGGTCCAATTATCGCAGAACATTGTATGATCAATGCACGTTGTAGCCACTATCGTGTTCATAAACCAGCCTTGAGAATTTAATGACGCCAAATACTGGCGACTTTCGATTCGTTAAGAAAACCACTCTTAATTGAACAGTGTTGCCCTTAGTGTATCGATTTGTGAGATGCATTTTTCATCTCACAAAAAATATGAAACTGAATCCTAATAACGTCTGACTCTGAAGGTGTGCGAACTTCAGTTACCTAACTAATAATTCGATGAATACATTGAATAAGTGTACAGAGGAATTTTTCTTTGTTTAGTTCACAATATATCTCAGTTTAAAGAAGCTATTAAGGAAATTCATGACGTTCTTTACAGCATAACTTATTTATTTATTTATTTATTTCCAGAGTCATATATATTAATGTTATATATGTAACATTAAAAAATTGTAATCTAGTAGAAGATGTAGTATTCTGTACACTGGTCTGGGTTGTAATTATAACTAACTTAAAAACTAAAATAACATCTTGTAAATAAATGCACCATTGTTTATGAATTATACATGTGTTTTTAATCTTCTTTTTTTTACCAGAATCTGATTAGATACTGTCTAGCTGTACTATAGTACTCCATTGACGCTTTACTATTTCTTGCGTATGAGATCCTTTCTATTGCACTGAGTCTTGCCGGGCACGTAAGGTCAACGGCACATGTTACTCTGTAATGCGGGAACATAGTTTGATGTTGATGCATAGAGTTATATTTACATTCTCAAATGAAAACTATGTCGTCCCAAACTATAAAACCTTTATTCTTTGGTTATGATTTTAATTCAAGTTTCTATAGCGTATATAACGAATGCACGAAGTAATATCAGTTGTACGCAATAAATAGTGAATAAAAAATGATGAGTAATGAATATCCACGTGCAAGTTTCAACATAATACTTTCTCGTGAAAAAAAAAACGTAAATCATCCTCTCGTCCATCCGTATAACAGTACGAGTTCGTTGGCACGATTGTCGAAAAGATAAATGGCTATCTTAGTTCTCATTTACACTCAGTTTACTGAAAAAGAGTTAGCAATTATCCGCTGGCTGTGGTGTCGTTTCAAAACGCAAGAGGCACGCACGCGCGCACACGTACGCTCGCTATCGCCCTAAATCACCGCGCGCGAACTAGGCTACGAGGAAAAAATCTGCTCGAAATTCCAATCTCCGGCGCAGATCTCTCGCGCGAAAGTTCCGAGCACGTCAATTCGTCGCCCTCCGCGGCATATAATAGCTCAGGTGTTGTTACTCTCGAGGCGCACACGCATTCTTCGGGACGATGCCCAAGGGGGATATCGAGTCCTGCCGCGGTGGCTCGACGTTCAATCCCGGCGCAAACATCTCCATAAAGACGCGTGGCGCGGCAATTAACGGCGCGCACGCGCCGCGACTCCCAAACGCGCCGAGCGCGCGCGCGGCGATCGTGATGTAATGGCTTTCCCGATGCAGCGAGCGAGCGCAGCACCTCGCGCCGACCCTGATCCTAAGCCGCGCGAGCATTAACTTTCGCCGCGTCACGTGAAATTTGCGCAAGTCCCGGTTCCCATCGACCGGTAGTGCGCGCTCGGACGCCGCCGCCGCCGCCGCCGCCACGGCTATCTCGTCCCTTGTTCATTTCGCCGCGCGCTTCAGGCGCTACTTTGGCGGCCTTATCTTTGGCGGCTGAGCGGGAGCCACCTATCGACTTTACCGTGTCCCGACTGTCGTGCCACTCTCGAGTTTAAATAAAAGAGCTGCGCCTTCGAATATGTCAGCAGCGCGCCGAAGACGACAGCCGCTGCATGGATTTTCATCTGTTTTTCATTTATTAACATTTAATATTCTAAAATATTCGTGGCAAAAGACCTGACAATTATTTTGCTTTTTAATGACAGTCATTGTAAAATATTTGACCAATGATTATGCGCAAAACAATAGTTCGAACATATCAGCGATCATTCTACTGCCAATCTTACACCTCAATGTAATCATAATTTGATTCGACACATCGATTAGCAAGTAGAACAAGTCGAGTGACAGATATATGCGAGGTACGCTTTTAAAGCAGAATCGTGGGAGAACGCAATTGATATGAATCAAAAATCCTATTTGTCTCGATTGATTTACGACAAATTTCTATCGTATACGTTAACTGGCAACTTGAACACATAAATTTCGCCTGATGAGTTGGTTGGTAAATTCCGTACTGCATTTGGTAAATACTAACTTTCGTTATTTCCGTGGTTTAATTGCGTCATTGGCATTAACGCCGCACCGGTAATCACGCGCGAAATCGGTCTGTAAGTAGTTATAGCAAAAAAACAGTTATTCAATCGGACTGTTTACATTTCATGCGTAAATTAGGTTTTACTAAAATGACGCCGTGGTACTGATTAAACCAACACTAATTAAGGCAATAATGACTTACATTCGAACATGGGCTATTTAAAATGCATTTTTATACATGAAAAAGGTCCGCGTGTGTTGCACACCGTTACTGTGAATGCAAATTTGAGTAGAGTTTTTATACATCGAAACTCTTGATTACGTCCAAGTGAATAACAATTATTTATGTATTCCGTATTTTCCGCTAACTAGCTTCTGTAATACTTGGTTGTTCGTATTGCAAAAGAAATCTTTTGACATTACTTGCAATTCTGAACTCACGCGAGCTTAGTTTGGATGTAAGTTCTTGTTTTTATGAATCTTTACCTCATAGAATTTATTTTATGTATTAACATGAGGAATCTAGTTTTTACTTTTGATTGCATATACTTTTCTTCAAAAGGGAAAAATCATTGCTGCAAGTTTCACAGAAACACTTGATTGTAAGTGGAAAATTGTTGTTTTTTTCACATTTAGCTTTTAGTGTTGAAACGGTAGCTGTTTATATTGAAATAATGAGTTGTGAAGTTAACGTAACATTTAATATGTAAATACATTGTAACTGAAGATGAAAGAAATCTTTAAGATAATTTTTTTTTATATACAAGTGAATCGACGACTCACACTTGTTCATTTTAAAATTATAATGTGTAACTTTAATACCATATAATCGTGAATTATCATATATATAATATGGCAGATGTAGGTCATTTGAAAAAAGCTTTTTCAAAATATGGTTCATCCAATTATAAATTAGTTATATAATTGAAATTATGTATTCTATTTCATGAAAAATAATCGTGATACTTAGATATTCCCACAGATCAATTTATTTTTGTAAATTCAGTATACAATATCAATGTCATGACAGCGATGTAGAGATACAGAATAATTAATAATGATTTTTTCCAAACCAAGTAGTTTACAATTCAATGGAGTGGACGTTTCAAAATTCTGCAAGAATCCTTGGCATAAAAAGGCACCCGAAGCTATGAGTGATATATTAAAATAGCAAACATTTTTTTCCTTTGCCACTTTCACTTATCGTTGCGCGCAGATCGATCAACGGTCGATCTATCGCTCTAGAAAATCAACGGCTGATGGTATGTGTGAGCCTTCCGGCCAAATAGGCTCACGAAGGGGCAAAAATTGAGTAGAACCCGATGGTGGTTCACGTAAAACAGCTTCAGGCGGATGCGGAAAACCAGTTTGGACGCTGAGTTTTGTAAGTAATACCGCGTCCGCATGCGTAAAGTAGATTCAGTCGAAAGAATCAAGTCACATGCTTTCTGGCAAGGACAAAATTAAGGATGATATTATCACGTGCTCAGCTTGAAGGCTGTATATATAAAGGAAGTTGTTAAACGACACTTAATTGAAATAAAATAAATTGACTGATCATAAATTATTTGATATTTTGCGATACGTAATGGCTTTATTATTAGAAAATTGTATTTCGATTAAAATAAAGCATATGTGGAAAACTTATTCGAGGAAAATATATGATTTTTAAATCAGTAGTGAGTCTCTGTACAGTGTCAATGTGACGTGACATCTATAATAAAAATTTTGAAAAATCGACGTTGCATAATTATCCGAAAGATTATCGCTACAAAATATGATTAAAAGAAAGAAATTGTCACCGATTTTCAAGTAAATAAAATATATAATCTATAATCGATGCTTTATTATATATTTAGTACATATTATCCACAAATTTAAGCTTTCATTCTAATTTTTTTCAGAATAGTGAACAGCTGTTTTTGTAAAAGTATATCGAAAATTTCTTAAACCTTTTCATAACCCATAAAACTTAAATACGGATTTTTTAAAGTTAATATCCCGAAGAACTTGAGAAACAACTTAAAAAATATATACTCTACTTAATGATCAGAGACAAAAACTATAGCGGAAAAACTTAGTAGCGCTCTGGAAAGGTTAGTTGGCGTTGCCGGCTGAGCTGTCTCTGGGGATAAATTGATCAAAACCTGATATTTCGTTTGGATACTAGACTTGTAAAATTACTCAAAGCATACACTTATACCAAGTATTAGGTACTGTAAACCTTATATGTTTACAAACTAAAGTTTTTCTATACGCATCTACAAGTTTAATTGTTAAATTTTTTACGCGAGTATTAAGTAAAGCAGAAGAATTGATACCTAAAGACATAAAAGCTAAAATTTTTGACAACTGTAGAAAACATAGCTTTGAGATACTTATTATAGATGTTTTCAGCAATCGAAATTTAGCGTCGTTCGAATGCTGAAAACGCACTTATGTTGCTAGTTAAAGGCAATTTGCGTATATTAGATTAAGCGGATCGTTTGGTAAGTGGTTTGTTTATTTTTGTAAAAGTAATAAAGTCCAATGCTTATTAACTAACGGTGATAATGAATATCTGTTTCTTCGGTTCATTAATGCTGCTTTTGATATTTATCGTTACCTCTATTTTGAATAACTAAATAATAATAAAAAAAGTTATATAAGTACTATATATTTTATAAGATTTTTTTATTTTAAATGCAATGATATTTTCTACAAATTTTCTAAGTAAATATTGTATTATAATGACTATTTCTAAATGTTTAATTTTTACATATTTAATTTTTTGTCCAATAATCGATTATTCATTTTTCTTTACAAACTAATCTTTGCTACAAATTAACTGACTACATTGATATTTCTGTATTGTTCTAGGCAGCAGGAACAGTTGGCGCAACAGTAGTGCCAGCCGTTTCCCCACCAGATAGAACTGCTGGCTGAGTAGCCATGGGTGCCGGACTAGAAAGAGGAGTGGAAACAGAAGGACTGTTTGCGGAAGCAGCAGTGGGAGCGGGCAGCGTGTTTCCTGGAGGTACTGTAGGTGGAGTATTCACAGTTTCTGGACGAGTGATTGATGGTGAATTTATGATAGAAAATCCCGGTAAATTAGGAATACCGGGAATGGATGGCAATAAGTTGAAACCTGTTGTCGAACTATCACTTGTCAGTGGCTGTGAAGTTGTATTCTGGTTATTGATTGATTGAACATTGGCAAAACTTGAATTAGGACACTTGAATTTACAATATGTTTGTAACGCATTTGCCAATGCAAATCTTGATTTTCCGCACGCAATATCGCAGTAATATTTTGAGATATTCGTAGCATAACCGAAGAATTTTGATAGATTTTCATTTTGCGCCTGTAAAATGTCAATATTTATTTGAAATATTCTCTTGCTAGTCGATTTAATGTACAATTATTCTAACAGCAATCTTAAAATTTCAAGTTGTTTGAAATTGCATATGAACTTCAAATTATCGAAATTGAAGTTACCGAAGTTTCATTATACATTGCTGTGCTTTATAAGTAATAATATATAAATAATTGATTGCTCAAAATATAGTGTTTGAGAAAAGCAAAAACATTTTACCTTACATTCCATAAAAATCCATAGTGTGATAATAATTTGTAAGCTGTAGACTGTGTGGAGATGGCTTCGTTTTTTGTTATACATTGTTATTATTGACTGATCTAGGCATACAACGGTTCGATACTATTTCACTCGAATCCACAGTTCTATATATATAGTTCTCGCGTTAAATATCTTGAGAAAAAAGTATTTCCTTCAAGTAAAAAGAGGTTAAAACGCGCCTAGGCATAATGTTTATGACTACGATAATTTTTATTGTTTCTACAAACATCTTTTCAGAAAAGGAAATAGAGATTCCATATCAACTTTAACTATAAATAAAAAGATGTCCTATGTTTACTATTATGTACGTAGATTTTGAATGAATATAGAACAACTTAGTATAAATATAAATTTAGAAGTATATACAATTAATAGTAGTAGTATATGTGAGTAAGAATGAAATGTTAAGGACTGACAAAAAAACTGAATATATGTTAGCAACGGTACGACAACCAATTCAAATGTCATGACTACAATTATTTTGTAAGTGGAAAAATAAACGTTTTTTATTATTTTTATTATAATAATAAATATATATCGGCACATTTGAATGTGCCGTTAGAACGTTACACGCTTGCTATTGCGATGTAAAAGAGGATTAACCCAACCTTATCATTGAAGCAGCCAAAAAGCATTGACGTCCATTAGAGAGAATGTAACGCTGCAAGTCCTATTCAATAGTTGAAATTATAGCATTCGACATTCAACGTTACGGCTTCAGTGCTGCAAATCTACAACATTTGATCCATTACTCAAGTTTCAAAGCTGGAGCTGCAGTGCTGGATTTTCCAGGATATAAAATCTGTGTAAGAAGTTTGTCATCAGTGATAAGCATGAACTTGACGTGGTATAAAGATAACTTTTTTACTGTCCAAATAATTTCTAATGCTTCTTTATTGATTTGAGGATAACGTTGTTGGGTTGCTGTCAATGTACGAGTAACATAAGCAATTAGACGTTCAATTTCGCTAACAAATTTGGTTGAAAACACTAGGCCAAGATCAGTTTGATAATTAGTGAGAGTAAAGACAAAAATGGCTCGTACGATATGAGAACTCCAAAAGAGATAAGTATTTTTTCAGATCTTCATTTGCTTTATTTGCTTCAGCAAACTACTACAATAGTTTCACAAGAAGGATATCTCTAAGTAAATGATGGAATAGCGCTACGTTTGGTGTGAATGAAGTGCAAATTGCTTTTCTAATGAATAATTCTAATACTTCAGGAGTAGAATGATTTGGTGAATTTAGAAATAACTTCGGTTTGTTCGTTGGATTCGTGAACACCTCGAGAGTCAATTTTATGATCTAAAACATCTATCGACGTCGATGCAAATATAGATTTTGAACAATTAACACGAAGTCCGTGAAGTTCCAATTGTCAAAACGGAATCAAGTACTCGAAGCAAGTCTTTAAAAGAATCATTAAAAACTTATAAATAGTCGAAAAAATCAGTACATATTTTTCAAAAAGTTTCAAATCATTTGAAAATTCAGCATTGATTTGTAATTGCCAGTAGTGTCTTCATTCATTCTTTAAATAGCTACTCAACTCCATCACTACTTTCTAGAATAAGATATGCGAAGTTTAAGCTTCTACATATATAAGTTAAAGTTCTAATGTACAATTAAAATCTGCAACATTTTCTAAATCAAATTTATTAAAAACTATTTCGAAAAAAGATTCAATAAAGACATTTAAAAATATTATCACTTAGTACGTACAATGTATGATATTCTCATGATTCTAATGTGGCTAAATGAGGAAAAAATGTCATTGGTCGGGTGTGTGTGTATGTGTGTTAATCATTCGAACTCTTACTCTTACGTCATCATTTCGTTGTTGACATTAATTATTTTTTCGTATTAGTCCTTAAATTCAAAATCTATACCTAGTATTATTTCGTAAATGTTTTTTTCAACTTTGTAATGCTTAAATTGACACGAATCACAAGTTATAAAATAAAAACAAAAATCACAATGAAAATGATATCTTAAAATGATTGATAAATAATATATATTTCATCAAGTTATTTACTTTAATATTGAATAACTTTTTTACGACAGAGCTATAAAAGAATATAGGAATTATATATGATAAGAATTGATGAAAATTATCCATGTTAATGTTTGAAAGGCGTTGTTAATTTTAAGATATTTTGATTTTCGTCATTTACACAAAAATGAGCAAACAGGTTGCTATAACCAAGTATAATTGAAACATTTATTTTAAGTTTGAATTTGAAAGCTTCTCTGATATACCGATCCAGATATCGTATCTGCAGCCGGTAAAGTAAGTTCCAAAATTCTTTAATCAATTTTTGTATTCAACTACAGCGGGCGACAGAGGGCACAGTCAGCCATTGCTTGAGCGATATTCGCCAGAGCAATGTATAGCGTTTGCTGCTGTTGCTGTCTGATAACCGGCTTTTACTTCACGCAGGCACGTTCTCCGCAGGACAACTGTGAAAACATTGATCCCGAATGCGGAACGTATCACCTGCTATATGTGCCGAGCGATGCACTGCATATCCCCTCGTCACTTGATCTTTAATCAATACTTTGAACTCACTATTTGAAAATTCATATTATGATCATATTTACATTTATGGTTAGGTTTTTATTAATGGGTAAGATTTATATAACTTGAACAGTTGATTTGAATAAATTAAATCATTAACGTGCAACTACTATTAATGTATATCAATAAATTGTAATATTTTTAGTATTCAAACCGAATGAATTTATATAAAAAATATCATGAAAGAAATCTTATACGAATTTAATCATCATTAGTTGCAATTCACTTCACACAGCGAACGTGATATTCAAACAAAGGAAACATTATTGTCATACTTTGATCGGTTCACAAAAATTTATATCGCAATTTTAAACAGTTTTTGCTGTTTTTAAAAGTATAATATATATTTTTAATGTAATTTTCATATCTCTATGTCATATTTTAATAGGTTCCATTTATGATTAGCCCTATGAATACTTACTCTGTACATATCTGTATACGTGATATACACATTACTCTATTGTTTCTACATAAAAAGTAAACTCTATTAGTATAAAACTCAAGCACATATTGAATTAATAAACTTATATTGCATTATAGAAATGTAATATACGTGTTGGAAATTTGTACTTTTTGAACATTTCAGTTTGTTTTGCGTGTAAAATGCTTTTATTATAAATCTAATACTAGAGAAGATAAATCTACAGATTCTACATTCTTATATCTTAATATTTGAAACAAACACGAAAAAAACTTTCAGATAATTTGCATTATCCTAAATTCTTTTAAACAAGAAAACAATTATATATCATCGATCAAAAGTTTTTCGCTTTGGCATTACGATGTCAATACTTTATCAAAGATATTATTCTACTTGAAGGTTACTTATTTATCATAATAATATGGGGTATTTAAAAGGATGTTGATTAATAAATTATTAACTAATATTGCTTCTAAATCTATTTATTGTTAATAGTTAATACTCTATTTTCACAATAAAGTTATAAATTGAAATTAGAGCATTCGAAAATAAATTGTGAATTTGAAATTAACGTTGATAGTAGTATAATAAATAAATTGTTGATCAATATGCCTTTTCAAACTTAAGGGGACCAACTAGTATTAAACAGTGAAAATTGAAAGTTTTCTTTGTTGGTATATTAAAACCTTTTTAATAAAAATATCGTCGTGAAACATTATTTACCTCAAAGTACTTTGAGTAAGTTTTCATATTTTTATATATGTCATTTTATTTATAGAAAAAATTTTACGTTATACACTATTCTGAACGTCAGTGTCAACTGAAAACATTATTTAAGGGGTCATTTTTCTGATTAGGATCTATAGTGTAAGACGACCAATATCATTTTCAATACATTTTTTCCCCATTTCAAAATTAGTTTTTCGGATTTTACGAAAACAAATGGAGAAAATTTTTTAAAAACTAGTTTTTAAAAATGAAAAAATATATTTATTGAAAAAGTACTCCGTTCATCTCACAGTATAGATTCTCACGAAATAAATGGGCTCTTAAAAATGTTTTCAGATCACTCTGACGTTGAGAATTGTTTACAGAGCCAAATATTTTCCATAAATAACATGATACATTCACAAAGACTTTGTGGGATGTATTCTCCCGATTTTGAAACTTTTAGTTAAAAGTATTAAAGCTTATTCCATTTATTAGAACGTTTTCAACATTTTAACAAGACACTTTCAATTTTCATTGTTTAACACTGGTTGGCCTCTTAATAGTTTGGATAATGAAAAGTTTATAAAATTGTTAAATAACTGAATTAATATAACGTACGGTTCATGATGAACAGTAACATTACATTCAAATCACCATTGAAGTGGTAAATATTTCTATAAAACAAATAGATCAATAAAAACAATTTTCACGGATTTATACTTTATATTTGGGGAGAATACGATTCTAAACCTACACTATGTTTGCCACGCTTCTTATCTCACCTGTTGTGGTACTCAACTATATGTACCATGATATGTATCAGCAATAAAACTAAGAAATTATCATCAAAAGTAGTAAAATGTAAAATCGTAAAACAATAAAATTGAAATTCAATGTATTACAGTAGAAACAATTGACTTCAGCATGAAAATTGTTTAAATGTTAGCTAATATGAATCACCTATAATACATAAAATTCTTTTTGTTCAGGTGCTTCATTTAAAGGACATCTTATTTAACTTCGAAGATAAAAAATATAAAAATATTCAAGAAACCACAACAATTCAACCCAACGCTTGATTCTTCAATAGTTACAGGTTCACTAAGTTGGCCAAATACTTGAATGTATTTTGTAATGAAAATATCTTGTTAACTGAATTACGTGGAGCTTTTGTAATGATATAAGTAAATCTGAAATCAAATACCTTCAAAAGAACTGAAAAAATGTATTTAAATAAATCAAACCATTCAAAAGTTATGCTTAAATAAAAGTTTATTAAATAAAATTTATCGACAAGTTATAATATGCACTTGTGAATGATACAACCTTTTCGAAAAATTTTGTTTCTA